AATAGTAAAAAACAAGTTCTTTTCTTTGTTTGTTTGTTTGTTTTTTCTTTCCTTATATTAATATGATATATTATTTATCTTTGAAGAATGTCACTTTATTAGTCTTTTTCTTTGGAGGGTATTTGATTCTCGTAGTTTGGATTATAAAGTTTTTTTTTTAAATAAGTATAACATTACAACAAATGTAAAGGTGGGAATTCTTTTGATGTATGTCGACCACTTTGAACAATTTTATTTTCTAAAATCTATGTCAATTTTAGTTATTTTATACCTCTTATAGATAAGGGACGTACCTTTAGTAGCTACAAAAGAGTAGGTGATTTTATCCCAACATAATTAGTTTAGACCTTGGTATTGAATATCGATCGACCTTTCCACGTATTCTTAAGTTTGATATTGATATGAGAAGTAAATCGACATTTCTATAATATTACCAAAAAACGACAAATATCAATAAAATGTCATAATATAGACATAACATTAATATTAATAATTTTTAACTTATTTAAAAATGGTGAAATGTTTATTTGTTAATTTAAATATTTTTCTCAATTTTTTTTATTTAATATCTTTTTTAGAAATATGCATCGATACCAATATTTTATTGATATTTACATATAATTGAGACTCCAGCATTTTTATTGACGTCGATATTCAAAATCTTGCTTTGGATTAATTTTTTTAGGGTAGAATTGTCTCTATTAAATACCTTGCGCATGATTTTCTTTTCTTTTAATTACATTTAAAAAAAAAGTGATCTCGTACTATTTATAATGAGTTAACCAATTTGAGTTCAACTCGCAACCAATCAACTATTATTAAAAACTCATTGAATTACCTATGTGTCTTTTGACTCYGTAACTATGAAGTTTAATATTTATTGGAAATTATAATTAAAAAATAAGTTTTAGATATAAAGTATATTAATTTTTTCTTATATGGAAAAAGGGCCCGKAGAAAAGAGGGGAATCATGGGGAATATTGAGAAAAGGATATTCCAGTGGCTGAAAGGAAGCCTGTGAGGCCGCAGCTTCATAAGATTCAGAGATGATTTAATTTTTTTCCTTTTTTTTAATAGTGCGATGGTAAATAGATTTATAAATTAAAAGTTTAAATACTTGGTCTCTACATTTCTTACTTTGCTTCTTTTTTTTCTTTCTTGAAATTTCAATTTTGTTTAGTTTAAGCTTTATACTTCCAGAACATTCATTTGTATCTCTATATTTTTAGATAGTGACTAAATTGGTTATATTTGTAAAATTTTAATGCAAATTCTATACAATGAAAACCTTTTAATACAAATTTATAGTTACATTTCAAGAAAATTTAGTAAGTAAAGTATCAACTTAAAATTGTAATYGAAAGAAATGGGATAATGTTAATAAAGAAACCAAATGGTCACTTTTCAAAATATATGGATCAAAATATACGTTCTGAAATTCTAGAACCAAAATGAAAATATATATATAGATATATAGGAACTAAAATAAATCAAAATTGAAAATATAAAATGAATCAATATTGAAARTAGAGGCAAAAATATTTAAATTTAAATTAAAGAACCTTGTATCACAGTGACTATTGAATACTAAAACATGGGGTATGACTCATTTATCCTTTTTTTTTAATAATTTCTGATCAGAGTAAATTTTATCATTATACTTCTGCAGTATAATGTCTTAGTCACTGCACAAGAAAATTTAATCTATTTTTTTTTCCATTTAAAAATGTAACTAGTTGTTGTCGAAAAAAGTATCAATATAATTTAATCTAAATGCATCACAGGGATACAAAGAGTTATCAAATAATAAATAAATAAATAACTTAAGAATCCCATAAGGTCAGAAACAAGGCATAGTTTAATTATTAAAAACAAAAGCCACGTCARCATATTTCATAGGCGGAATGCAAAAAACTACTAATTTAACCAATTCAACCAAATCCTTTCCATTCCACCATAACTTTTCCTTAACAAACTTACCATAATGACACAAAATAAAAATAAATAAACTATATTTACAATGCTATAAGTTGCTCAATTGTTTAAAATACATGTTTCTGACCAAAATGTTGAATCTTCAGGGTTGGCCGAGTGGCCATTGGAGTCGATGAAAAAAGTGAAGGACTAGAAAGAACATGTTTGTAGTTAAGTCTATGATGAGCTCCTATTAAAAGTCTTGATAAAAAAAAAATAATAATAAAATTGGTGCAAAATGAAGAAAAACAATAATGATAATAATAATAGAATGCAGGGGAAAAGTCAAGCTAATAAAAATTAGCTACCTTGATATATCAACTAAAATACAACAGGGTCGACCCTAACTTATAAAAACTCTACCTACCCAACAATGACTGAATTGAATCAACTAATTTACATGAATTTGTTAACCCACCGTCTTCAGAACCATAAAAACTAACCACTCTACTAACATGAATTTGCAACTCCTAAAGGATACAGAAACGCATAGACATGGACCAGACATACCGTTTTCTGTGTGTCTTGATTGCTTCCGTTTGCTCTTGTTCTTTCCTTGGTCATGGCAAATCTTCGGCATTCCGTTTGGGAACACGAACAACTCTGGTTGGATTCCTGGGTCGCAGGGAATTCCAATCGAAACTGCTTCAACTATTGAACAAAGACGAACAGGGGTGATGGGTTGAAGCATAGCATTGTAATGATCAAAACCTGGGGTAGGAACGATTGTGGCGCTTGAATCATTCACCTTCAGAAAAGGTGAACTTGAAGTGCATCTTTAATCATTCATTTTAAGAAACTCCAAAGAGCAGCTTCTGATTCACACACTAAAGGCATTTACTTGAAGAGGCTGGACAATGGACCTTTGGGCTGCGCGGTACCTGTTACATGTCTATGTTTCTTATTAGTATTCTCCTTTCCTTGGGACAACAAATAACGCTCTTTCTTCTCTGACTTTCCTTCTTGCCCAATTACCTCGACCCCGTTCATATTCCTCGGGTTGACATCTACTGCATGAAGCAGCTCCTTGGTAACCTTATCATGAGCTTCCTGGGGCAGGATCATGTCCTTAACCTGGTTTCCCGCGGTTTCTAGATCCGTTTGGTTATTCTCTTCTCTTCCCTCCTTTTTAACAAGCTTATGTTTCTTATTTGCTCTCAACTTACCTTCAGAACTAGGTGGCGATTTTTTTATTTTTCTTTCTCTCTTCTCTGACTTCTCTTCTTGCCCAATTACCTCGTCCATCATCCCCATGATTTCAAGATCCTCACACTTATGCTCAGTTTGTCTTCCCTCCTTTTGAACAAGTTTACGTTTCTTATTCGCTCCCAACCTAACTTCAGAAGTAGATGGCAGTTTTTTAACTTTCATCTCTTTCATGACAACCAATTGGTCCTTCACAATATCAGAGACTGGTGAATTATAATTCTCCTTAGTAGTAGTATCAACACAAAGATTCTGCTTCTTGTCAAGAATGTTCTCATCTCCCTGCACAATTGCACCATTCAGGGTTTCGAAGATAATTTTTCCCATGACATATCTACTCTCACTCAAAATACCCTTCCCGAGAAGTTGATAGTCAATTTCAAAATTCTCTCTCTTATTTTTGAAGGATTCAACATCATTCACCAGCACTTCAAAAATTTTAGCAACATCTTTGGCAGTCTTCTTGGACACAAACACCTAAAAATAAGCTCTAATTATAACAGGCACAGATAACAGGAACCTTAATATAGACTTTGGTAAGCAATAAATATAAATTATTTACTTAAGTTAATATATATATTATTTACCAAATTAGAGCATGGAGAGGTTGGTAATGTTGGCGTGGCTTCAAAGAGACAATCTGCACCGGTAAAAGCAGCTATGCAACCCTGTACTTTCGAAGCAAAGTGACTAACCCCTTCAGCAAGCTCCTCCTTTGATTTAAATTGAGCCGATCTTGTAATCTCTGGCCTTAAATTGATCTGCACAAGAGAGTTTTCTCTTGCATAATTCACACCTTCATTCCAGTCCCCATGATACAAGGTACCAGCAAAAGCCAGAACTATTAGAGAATTTTGAGGGTTCTTAACTAATGCCATGTGAAATGCCAACAATCCAACCCTGTACCATTTACAAATCTCATCAGAGGTATAATATTTGACTGTTGTTTAAAGGTCTAAATTTACCTAGGATGGAAACATGGCTGAGATATTCATATTGACACAATGCCATTGATTGAAGTTCAAGGGGGAAAAATGGTATCGGTGTATCGTAATAATTAATAACATGTGCCTTCATATTGATAACGAAAATATCTTCTATAAATTTCTCTGATTTACAGTGATGGTTTATTAATAAAAGAAGTATTTAATCTTTCACCATCACTCCTACTAGCATCAGTGCAACACTAGCAATAGTGGAATATATTCAAAAATGTCTATTTTTTATAAGGATAATAATAAATAATATTGTTTATTCATCCATTATCAAAGCTAGCTCTAGAATAGTCTTTGATCAAACCAAGGAACTTCTTTTGCCTGAATAGATAACATGGCCTAAAATATAACCATACATGCAGTTCAAAACAAAACTTTATTCTTACCGAGCTTCATTAACAAAACTCTTGGACCAAAAACCAGAGTGATTCTTGAAATAAATATTAACACAAGAAAATGCTAATTATGATGAATAACATGATATTAGATATGTAAAATCTGATTTTTAAAATGAACAGGAAAATCTAACAACCAGATGCGAAAGAAAACTAAATAATGAGCTAACCATATATTGCAGTCTGATGGCCGATCACAAGAAACCAATTTATCCAAATTGGAGAACAGTTTCTGCATAGAATAAAGAATACGGAGCAATCAATACTCAAATCCTATATTAAATTGCTGAAATTGATATGGTTTAACCAGTCTGACTTGGCACTGGTATTGGCACCATATGCAAGGAATAGAAAAGCACATTAAAGGACCCAGATATGCACAAAAAAGTTACATTGAAGATCTTTAACAGTCCACACCAGATTCTTTAAAGATTCATTGTCAAGCAACCATGTAGAAGTTCACATAAGTGCATGTATTAACATATACAAAGTATTGTCTTAATGCCCAAGGAAACATTAATCTTCCTTAGTTCACTATTCTAACTCATTTCCTACATTCATGAGACAGTGTAGATTCACTTGAAAAAAGGAAGACCATCATTTTTGTCTTCTATATATGCCAAGTATTTCAGTGATAGTCTCTTAATCATTTCAGATTATGGGTAAAATCAAGTGACAAAGTTCTACAGCACTCACCATCAACATTATGGAATTGAGAGAAGATTCTTTAATGTCTTGCTTATCAAGATATGCAGCCTGCAATCATAACTGCAACTCAGATACGTGCTAGGATTAGATCAAGGTCATGTTCCCTAGAGAAGGAATCATCAGAAGAGCATACATGAAATGGCAGCAGAATCTGGAGCAGGTTAAACCTCTGAAGCAAATAGAGAGAAGGAACAGCAGCTCCATAAGATAGCATATAGTTCAACTCCATCATTATCCTGGTCTGAAAATATAAAGAATGTTGTCAAAGTAACCTATATAACAGTAGCTGCAAACTCTAAGTTATCTCAACTAGGACAGCCAAATGGAACAGTGCCAAACCTCAGAAAGTATGTTTTTTTTAATAGCACATACTAGAGGAAAAAAGACTTCCCATTATAAGTGTAGTGTAAAAAAGGAAAGAAGGAAAAGCAGGAGAAGAAGACACAAGATAAGGAAAAATGGCAGACGTTTTAACAACAAAGTGTAGGAAGGAGAATAGTATTGTTCAACTTCCTCAGGTTACCTTATCCAAGCTCATGATGGAAGGAGAAAGTTTACGAATTGCAGTCTCAGTATCCTTTGAGAGTGACAAACCCAAACGAGCTGCAATTCTTAAGCCCCGCAGAATTCTTGCTGCAACACAAAATTAAACACATCATTGTGGTTGCCTAGTTCATATTGTTTGAAACCACAGGGTGCCACTAGTCACAAATGTTATTGCACCGACAGAGTACACGTGGAATAGTAAAAACCTACCACAATCCTCTTTGAATGACAATGATGCAGGAATTAGTGTCCGCAACTGAGTCCATGCCATCCAACAAAAGGGGGGAAACTTCATATAAGAAGAGGATGGATAAATCAATTAAGGGAAAAATGTAAAGTTACCTCTGTACTGTCTCTATTAGGCCCTTTTTTCCAAAAATAATAGCATAAAATGCCTCTTTCTTTCCTTCAAAAAATTTATTTCCACGGTTTGAAATGACCAAATCAACTTATATGAAAACAAGTATTAATATTAATGGGAATTTCCCAAGAGATACATGATTACTTGTGGAATGTTACCAAAATCACCAACTATTCAGGTTCACTAGACCCCTAATTTTTTAATTTTTTTTGGAAGATAAAACAATGAAACTTTATTCCACAAAAGAATCAAACTAGGAGGGGGGAAGGGGTTAAAAAAGGAGCAACCCCTTCAAAGCCAAGGGAAGCCCACCAAAAAAGAAACAAAAAGAAATTACCAGTCAGCTTGAACAAAAAAAGTATTGTGATGGTAAATATCTGGATTCATCTTTCTTCTTCTTTGTTAACCACATTCATTTTTAAATACAAGAAAACTTCAAATTTAGAGTAAAAAATGAATTAGACTGCAAGACATAGAACTGCTTGAAAGAGATAATTTTTAATAGGAAATAATGAATAGCATATAATATTCCGTAAGTAATTAATGGGTAAATTGAATATAGTGACAAATTCGATTGTTCCTAAAAGGACTATATTATTCTTAAAAGAAAGTATTTGGGCACTGGTACAAAAGAGACATAGTACAAGGGTAACTTTTCCATTTAACCCTCTAAATGAATGAAGAGTTTTCGGAAGGGGAAAGATCTTCACCTTCAAGGACCTTAAGTCTGTTATTCCTTCAGCATAGTCATAGATCATATTCCGAAAGGGGTCAAAGAATAAACTGTTTCAACAATTATCAAGATAACCATGAATTACAAATTTATCATCACACAATGATGTGACTACTTAGTACATGGATTTATGATATAAACCAGATTTCCAACAAAGCCAAAATTATGTCGAATATCTAAATACCTCAGCACATTTAAAAATCATATAATGAAAAAGGTCTGATACAACACCTGATAACAAGACAGGAATATGTTGCAAAAGATATATTTCATATAGAATACAGACCACTTGTACAGCATGGAGTTGGACTATACATTACACACAAATAAAACTGACCTGTTAATTGTGAAATCCCGGTGCATAGAGTTCCTCCATCGGATTAAGTCCTCTTTGACACATTTTCTTGGAATTTGAGAAGACACTACTGTTCCTTTTCCTTCAGAATGTTTTGCAACTGTTTCAAAACTTGAAACCTAATAAAAATAAATATAAATAAAAATCATGAAAGCACACAAGATGTAGATCAATAATTGTAAAATTACTTGCTATCAATGAATTATCAATACTTTTTTAAGCTTAGGCCGTATAAATTACCAAGTTCTGATGTCTCGGTATTAAATACATGAGTTAATCTATATACATTTTAAGAATATGAAATTTTGATATTATTCTTCCAGTCATTTCATGAGGCATAAAGACTTGAAGCCTAATGCACCTCATGAAGGCATAAAACCCGATGCTAAACTTGTCTTGCCTTAAGAATAATAACGATTCAAAAGTACCTTTGTTTCTCTTTTATTAGAAGAAAACAAATTTGAATGAATTAATTTGGGAGCAAGGATAAATTTTTACCCTATACTATTCAACAAAAATATATATCAAGATAAAAAAAATAATACCGGCATGCTCCTTAGACTTGTTTATGGCCCTAAAGGAGTCATATGAGATGCAAATTTCATGTAATCCGGTGAGAACAATGATGTTAATTCAAAAAGTCCTTCAATACATTACTTGCTAGACCAAGAAAAACGAAAGTAAAAGAACGTTAAAGAAGACCATTAATAGTCCAATGGAAATGCATCACTACCTCAATAACAGAGCCTTTGATGTTAACCATACAAATAGGAAACCGGCGTCCAACAATTTGTGCACGATGAAATAGTTTGCGGATCTGCATGGGACAGAAGGAAATATACCATTCTTAGATACATTGATTTTCACTCTTAGTAGTAGAGGAAAAGGAAAAATAAAAAGAAAAAAATCTACAATAAGTTATACAACGCTCACAAAGACCTGTTGAAGTCCAGCTGTGGTAATCACATCAAAGTCTTTTGGTACTCTATTTAGGATCAAGTCTCTGACGCATCCACCCACCAAATAGGTTTCAAACCCTATGCATTACAAGAGAATGGAATGCCAATTCAGTGACGTACCATAAATCAAATTGATGAGACAAAATGCAACATAATTGAAGAATAGACAGCCAGCTACAGAACTAACGAGCTCGAACTATAGATGATTAATAATATAGATGCTTTCTTGGATGTTAATGAAGTAAACATTTTCTCATAAACAGCTGGAAGTTTTTGCCTATTGCAACATGTTTAACTACCATAACAAGGATGTAAAGGAGAAAATACAAGCAGCTCTTGGTCATGCCTACACGTATTCTGTTTGTTTGGCATTTTTCTATAATTTGGATTTCTTTATTCTTTAATTCCTTTGTATTTAAAATAGAGTTTACTGCGGTATTTTATTCATTCATTGAGAAATCGATACAGAGAAGAATAGAGAGAATTTCTCCAATTGCTCTTGAAATTGTGTGAACTGTGAATCGCTACTAAGGATAATTCACCTAGTAATAAGATTAACTAGTTCATCGATATTATAAACATTCAAGCCATATTAATCAATAAACTGTAGCAGGACCAATTTTTAGTAAGCAACGTGGGACATGTAAATGCGGTGGCTACAAATATACCGGTACTATAGGCACTGAACATGTTACCTTTCTTTTGAAGAATTTGCAACACCATCCATGACGAAGGCGGGATCATTGAACGTTTGATCCCAAAAGCCCGTGCATCAACTTTATTCCATTTGGACATGCCAATGTTAGCTGCTTCATCTACAGGCATGGAACATGGTACCTTAAGCTTAACAACCAACTTGTATAGTACGCAAGGAATAGCTAAAAGTGAACTATTTCAATGGCAGGAGTGACAGAGAAGACCACGTTTCATAGAAATACTAAGTAACTTCCTTCAATTGGCAAATGAAAGCAAATTAAACTTGACAGAAGAGGGAGGGGCGGAAATCACCTCGACGACCCGCTGAGTGAAAATCCATTTCTGGGTTCATGGGAGACCGAAAAACTCCTCCGTTAGCAAAACCGTGCCTGAGGCTCTGACATCCAAATTTTGAAACGTCGTTGAGGTAAGAAACTTACAGGAGGTGTTGAAACTGTTGGATTGGAAGAATTGCGTAAAAGAAATGCATTAAAGAAGCGGAGAGAGAGAGATAGGGAAGCACCTGAAGCTTGATCAGGTCATTGAGGCGATGTAGGAAGCCATTGTAGTTGCTTCTGAGAGAAAAAAACGCCATAAGAAGAGGAGTATTCTATCATGGCGAGCTTTGTTCGTCCGCCATGCTCATGGAGGCGCCAGGTTTTCAATTCCTATTTTCCTCGACCCAAATTCTATTAGACCTCGGCCGATGAGTGTGTGACGTCAGTGTGATTCTGTAAATTATTAATATATATATATATAACAAATACAAGATTTGGTGAATATACATTTGTTGGTATTTAACATATTTGTTTTTCAAAACTATTTTTGAATAATGTGATTCAACGTTTAGAAATCAATGTTTTTATATTTTTAATTTAAAATTTTAAAATGTATAATTATATTAAAATATATATATATATATATATATATATATATATATATATATTAAGGAAAGTAGGTGTACCACCACCGTAATAAAGTGGTAATTTTTAATGCATAATTATATTTTAAAAAAAAAACTTAAAATTTCAATAAATCTGTTAGTTTATGTCATAAACTAATTTGATGTTTATTAAATTTAAAAAACATGTCAAGTATAATATATTGTAAATACAACATTGTAAAATTTTAGTTATACAAAATTTATAATAAAAATATTAATCAATTAATTAATATTATTTTATAGTAAACTATATATTTACTCCATAATTATTTATGATTTAGAAATATATCGTTAAATACAGCCCTAACTTCCAAATTTGCTATCAAACGCATCTCTAAAAATAAATAATACAATTTTTTCGTTAAATAATTGATTTTCATATCTATGTTTTATGATCACCGACCAAAAAGTTGTTAATTATAATTTGTATTGTGTATTTTTAGTCATTATTATTAGTTCAAACAAAATTGGTAATTATTTGAAAACAATCAAGGTTCAACGAAAAATATAACCCTCGCAATTATAGTTGATGATATCTTAATACATTTGTGAGTGCATGTCTTATTCAACTGATCATTTGATCGTATCTAAATGATTATCGTAGGATTGTTTTCTAATATGGGACTTCTTATATCACGTATATATTAGTAAATTTAATACAACTCAATCTTAAACCTCAAAGTTTATAATTTTTACAATTACATCTAATTTACCCGAACACGTAAGAAGATAAAGCTCTTAAAATCCAATGAATTTTGAGAAAAATAAAATCTTAACAAATTAATAATACACAATATTCAATGTTTATTAAATCTTATCACGAGGTCATAACTTAAACAAATTTTATAATAATTAAGTCCTAATGTCATATTTCTTTAACTTTGTTATTTCATACGAAACCTTGTTGGTAATCTATTGAATGTACACATCAATAATTTATCGAAAATTAATAATATATGGTAGGAGCACTGAAACGACTTGTCATGTATAAAAAGTTAAGAAGATTGGAAGAATCAATAAGTAAATTATTTTCTCATTCTTCCGATCAATAATGCCTTGAGATCTCAAGGTCGACTCAAGTCTCGATGAAAGCCAAGTCGAGATATGCAAAGACTGCATGCTTGAACCTTAGTGAAAGACAATCACTCAAAATCGCCCACCAAATCATCCATACAATCACTTGCAAAAATTCTTAAAATTTATTAACATATGTGATTTTGTACTTTCGTAGGTCGTAAGTTCGACTCCCACCCTTTATACTAAAAGAATAATTAAATAAAAGTTGAAAATTAATAATCTATTAGAAACTTTTAAGCTTTTTTGACTTATTAATTTAGCATTTCTATTATACACCATCGATAAAATTTGTAATTTAAGGAAAAAAGAAAAAACCAAAGACAATGTGGATGGCAGTGTGTTGAACGCGCCCCCAAAGGGCGTGTGAGAGATCTCATGGAAATCCTTGGCTTTGGCTCTTTTTTGTTTTTTGTTTTTTTTTTTAAATTGAATTAATTTTACCAAAATATTTGAGTTCGCTGGCATTCGCAATTGGTTCCATTCCACGATAGAGAGATCAGCTGCTGCCATCGATTCAACGAAGTTTTTGGAGCTCAGCATCAGCTACAGCTAGGGTTTCTAATCTCCATTAATTCTTCTTCTTCTTCTCTTCCGTTCCTTCTTCTTCTTCTGTATTTTCTCTTTCAATTCGCCGGTTTACGCACCTCCCGCGCCCGGGAGGGACCAACCAACGCTATGGGTGGTGGCGATGGAGCTGTGCACGGCGCCAGCGACACGACGACCGCTGCCGATGGAGTCAAAGTCAACGTCAACATTCGATGCTCCAATGGTTCCAAGTTTTCTGTTCTGGTTTACCTCGAATCTACCGTTGGATCCTTTAAATCCATCCTCGCGGACCACAGCGAGGTTCCGGCCGATCAACAACGCCTGATTTACAAGGGTCGGATTTTGAAAGACGATCAAACCCTACAAAGCTACGGTGCGTTCTTCTTCGATTAATTATTGCTTTTCTGCATTGAATTCTTGCTCGTTTCACAAATCTGGGTTCTCCTTCCTTCACCGTTCTTCTAATTTTGCTTGTCTCGTTGTTGGCATTGATTTTTTTATTGTTCTCTGAAGGCCGGGATTTAAGTGCTTGATATAATCCTTTTTTCTCTATGGTAATTGTTCATTTATTGTGATTTCTGTTAGGGTTAGAGGCAGATCACACCGTTCATTTGGTTCGTGGATCGGCACCTGCTGCACCGCCGACCAATCCTTCTACTGCGCCGCCCAATGCCGGCGGTCCGAACACCACTTCGAGTAACGCAAGGAATGTTCCATCAAATGAAGGTGGAGCTCTAGGAGGATTTGGGTTGGAATCTTCCCTGTTTCCTGGACTTGGTTTCGATGGGCTTGGTGCCACCGGGGGCTTGTTTGGAGCTGGCCTTCCTGATTTCGAACAGGTGCAACAGCAGCTGACCCGTAATCCAAACATAATGAGAGAAATAATGAACATGCCTGCCATACAAAACATCATGAATAACCCAGATATCATGCGGAACTTGATCATGAATAATCCTCAAATGCGTGAAATTATGGATCGAAATCCTGAGCTCGCGCACATTCTCAATGATCCCAGTACTCTCCGGCAGACGCTGGAAGCTGCAAGAAATCCTGAGCTTATGCGTGAGATGATGCGGAATACTGATAGAGCAATGAGCAACATTGAATCTTCCCCCGAGGGATTTAACATGCTTAGGCGAATGTATGAAACTGTTCAAGAGCCATTTCTAAATGCCACAACTATGTCTGGAACTGCTGGAAATGATGGCTCGAACCCTTTTGCTGCACTCTTAGGAACGGGTGGGGATGTGACCAATAATACGACATCCAATCCATCTACAACTACTCCTGATGCGACTAATGGATCTCCTTCTCCAAATACAAATCCACTTCCAAACCCATGGACCCCTCCTAGCAGTAAGCACTAGTTCGTTTAGATTTATTTTATTTTATATTTCGAACCTGTTTCTTAATAATAGGAATTCAATATATTTTCAGTAGAGTTCATGAGGTTTTGACCCTCTCTTAACTGCTTTAGAATCTAAGTTTCCTACCCATCAACTTTTTATCTTATTTTTTAGAGTATAAAGATATTTTACAATCATTTAACATCTGTAATCCATCAGCTGGCGGTACACAAACTAACTCTACCAGGTCAAATCCTACTCCAAATGTTAGTGCTCAAGTTCCCACTGGTTTAGCCGGGCTTGGTCTTCCAAATCTTGAGGGTATGTTGGGTGCAACACCAGATGCCAGTTCTCTGAATCAGTTGATGCAAAACCCAGCTATTTCACAGATGATGCAAAGTGTTTTGTCAAACCCCCAATATGTGAACCAGGTACTATTTTGTCTTTTCATTAGAATTTGAGGATGATGTGGAGATTATCTGTTTCCTTGCAATATCTCCTGTCAGATTCTTGGTCTCAATCCTCAAATGCGCAGCCTGCTTAATTCCAATCCTCAGCTTAGAGAGATGATGCAGAATCCTGAATTTCTACGTCAGTTGACCTCCCCTGAGACATTGCAGGTAAATGGATCCACACAGCTGCCATGTCAACATCCTCTTTCTACTTTAATTCCCTCAGACCTGATCCTATCTAACCTTAACACTCTGTGTGACCATTTTGTGATYTTTTTTCCTTGATTATTTTTGCAGCAATTGTTTACTTTGCAGCAACATCTCGCGTCACAGATTGGTCGCCAGCCCACCCTGTAAGTAGTGAAAAACTCTCGTTTAGATCGTTCAAGTAGCCTTGCCTAGGAGTTGGGTTTTATCTTACTGTTTTGATAAACATATTATGTTAATATTGATGATTAATTTGCCATCTGATAAATTGAGTGGAGTCAAGTTCTTAGATATTCTTTTTAAGCATCTTATATAGTAGTTATAGTCCTTGTGATTGGGAAAACAACCCTTCTGCAATATGTGTTTTACATTTTTAGTGCTGAATTAATGTACTTCAACAACATGTCAACACCTCATACCTTTGTGTAACCTTCTTTGGCTGCTTGCTATATTTTTGTTTTTGGTCACCCTTTTTTAGTACTTCTAATAGTTTGAAACAAAAAGTTAATACCAAATAAAAAAGCTCCGACGAGTTTCATATGTGTATGTTGATAACTGGATACATAGTGGGTCTACTAGGAAAGAATTCTTATATGACAGAGAAAAATTTGTTCAGAATTTTTACCTCTTCATCTCCGTTTAAAAAATGCTTTTAACAATTTAAATGATTTTTTAAAAATTATTAGATATTTGGTGAGCGAGCACGTTGAATAGGTTAACATTATCTTGCATGTTTGGTAATGCTTGTCTAAAAAGCATCAATTATCTGTAAGAATCTATACCTTATTCCTATAATATATATTTTTTCTTTTAATAATTGAATCATATAAATAACTTGCTACAAAGGCTATAAAAAGGAATAAGAAATTATTTTTTTTTGTTAGTCTGTATCTTAAGGACGTTCAAATCCACTTGCTAAGAATACCAAAAAGTTGATAATATTGCAACCATCATGGATGAACAAGTTGTTGCACATCTAAGAAGTGTCCAAATTTGTGCAGTAGATTCAAATAAAAATCTTTAATAATCAGTAAAGCTTTGGAAAACTATGTTAAAAGAGTTTAAGCTTTTCGCGTTTTCTGTGTATTGTACTTTAATGAAACTCTGGTAACTTACAAATTCTAGGATGAGTCAAAATAAGTCCTTCAATTAAAGCACAGTGAGGTATGAAATATATTCTCCTTCAAGGGACCTTTCGCCAGGTAATAAAGAAAGCAAAAACAAATAATGATTTTGAAAAGCTTATTGTTTGATCTCCTCAAATGCCCAATGTTCTCTAACAATTGGGCCTTTTTAACTTAAAATTCATTTTTTAAGAATACCAAATGATTAGTTTCAGATGACTGGGTCTGTTCCTAGATGACCCAATCCCCAAAACTTAGAACATTTGGGATGTTTTGATTAGAATGGGGGAGGAAGAATCATGCCATTCTCTCTTTGGGCACAAGCAAGAACATGAAAATGAAAGACAGAGACACGAACACCCTTTTGATTACTTGGTATCTCCTCCTTGTTGCACTCTTATTTACATAGTTGTATACTATAAAACACGGACACGGCAAAAAAGGAGGAGTGTCTGTGTCGGACACGCAATTTAAAGTGTTCGAATATTAAATTTTTTATTTTAATTTCAGACACGTGGGGACACGCCAGATAAAAAAATATTGTTTCCTTAGCCCAATTTTGGAAGTCCAAGAAGTTTGGCTGAAATCTCAAAAACTTAAACTACAAAAAAAAACCCTAAAACGCTACCTAGTGACCCACCCTTCTSTTTGTGTGAGTTAAATTAAATAAGCTCTATTCTTACTTCCTTTTTTYCCTAATTTCATATGAATTAAACTAGAGTAGAATATGTTTTACAAAATTAGGATGACAACTTCGACCCAATAATCAAATTCAAATCCTTCTCTAGGATTTTTTAGTGGATTACATTTACTATTTTTATGCTTTTTAGTGGGTACATCTTCAACCCAATAAATTTACTTGACATTTATGTTTTTTAGCGAAGTATATTTAGCATTTTTATGTTAAATTTACCTATATCCTAAAAAAAATAATAAATAAATAACGTATCCCCAGCGTGTCCGTGTCCTAGTTTTTTAGAAATTGACGTATCGTCGTGTCCTGTCGTGTCCGTGCTTCTTAGGTTGTATATATAAATAAGAGTTTTGTTTTTCTTTGAAAATGTTAGATAGTTGTTTGTGAAGCATCTGTCCAGAGGAAATATTTAAAAGAGCTTAACTAATAGGACACCCATAGCTAAGAATCTCATTATAGAAGCCTTCAACAAAAGTCAAAGATATTTCTTTAAAGATGTCTTATCACCTAGCATAGCATGAAATTGCAAACTCTAGTTTTTTTTTTTTTTTGGTCTTGATAGCTCACCTTTTTATTTGCTGGTTATTGGCCTGAGTTGGGCACTACCTTTGATGTATTTTGATCAGCTATTTCTATACAATCATTAGTACAAAATCTTTGTACTCATAATCTGTAGAACTTGCATATTGAGGAAGCTCATACCTTAAACCCCGCAGAAACAACTCAGCTCATAAACTACAAGCTGGGGTACAAGCTACCAACCACACCATAGACACTCACGTTTCACATATAGAGAAAGCTCGTGTGTTCATATGTAACAAGGGAATCAACAGATGGACACGAAAATCTGTTTGTCAAAGTAATTGCCCATTGAATACTCTGACTGTCAGCACCTCAATCTCCCCTCTATTTATAAACGATTATAACCACAATTAGCTACTTTAAGCTTTGGAAACTTCATCAAATTTTGATTGAGTTGTTAGCTCTATTGATGTTTGTTTCCACCAGTTTTGCGACTGCGTATTAGTTTACAGGCATTTATCTTGATTAAATTCTTTATCCTGTATTATGATTCTGTTTTTGGTTTGTCTGTAGTTCTTGTAAGTACTTATCCTACTTTTCAAATTTTGTAGGAACCAAGGTCAGAGTCAGACTGATGGAGGCACAGGTAATGAACTCTACAAATAGGTCGACGACATTGATGCTGTGCTACTAATTATGATTGGAAGTTTGGTCTTGGTGCGGTTGTCATAGCATGTTATGAATATGTTGAATCATTCAACACTTTATGTTCTTTAAGAGACGAAGTTGGCTATGATATATACATTCCAGATGCATCATCACGTGAAACAAAAATTTGACTGAAGGTGGTTTTTGATGTAAAATAGTGGTGGAATAGTTTTCTGATCCATTGTGATTTTAGTTAGTCTTACCAAAATGCACATTACGATGAACCTTCCAATAACAAGACTTTTTATTTGTATGGTTGATCTGATTAGCATTCTGGTTTTGGTTTGATATTATTCTCTTAATGACAGGAGCTGCCAACAACAATATGGGGTTGGAAATGTTGATGAACATGTTCGGTGGACTTGGTGCTGGTAGCCTAGGCGTGCCCAACAGACCCGATGGTTGAATCTCTTGCTCTTTCCTTACATTCAGTTGTTTTATTTTAATTTACTTTGCTCTGATACCTTCTTTCAACAGTACCACCAGAAGAACTGTATTCAATGCAGCTCACACAGCTGCAAGAAATGGGATTTATCGACAGACAGGAGAATATACGAGCACTGATCGCTACTGCAGGAAACGTCCATGCTGCGGTTGAGCGATTACTGGGGAATTCAGGTCAGTAGTCGATCGATCCCATTGGTAGTGCCAGCCTGGTCCCCTCGACTGCTGACAGCTGAGGTAAGTGACTTTGGAGGTGAAATTCAAGTCTGGTGAGCATACGATTGAGTTCAAATTTTGGTATAGGAGCGGCAAAGTCGGGAATACGATCACTGAATTACAAGGTCTCACTCTCTCTCAGGTTCTCGGAGTTCCTGTAATACATGTTTCTCTTACATGATAGCGAGATATGTGATATGAACTGTGTGGAAAATATGTTTAATTTAGATAATATTTGTTGTTTTTGTTCGTCAAATTGAGTTTATTGAAGTTTCTGTTTTGATACTATTACTACGGGAGCTCAATGATGGGTTCTGTCACTCTCACTGACCCACTCTTAAGCTTTCTGTGAATATAATACATCCACTTCACTTGCTGTTTTCACATTTTTTTTCTCGTTTCCAATTGGTTAAAGAAATATAATCATTTCACAATTAACTATGTTTCTGTTTTATTTTTTTTATTTTTTTTTGGGAATATTCTAAAAATTGTATAGAAATTTTTGGAAACAACACAAACAAATTTCTTTCCTTTTTCATTTCCAATTTGTTCCAAAACATAAATAAAAATATTGTTTTATCATACTTAAATTTAGGGATGATCGGGTCATGTATTTTATTTTTCTTTATTAAAAAAATGGAGAAACAAGAAGGCATTTAATTACCAATTTGGTTGTCATGATTTTAAAAGTTTCTATATATGATTTGGGCTTAGTTTCGATGTTACCCATAGTATTAAAAGTTTATTGAGCTTAGTTTTAATTTGGGTCTCGTGGTTTCAATTTGGTTTCATTTCATCAAATCTCACACATTGTTTCTCATTTATCTTTTTATATGTTAGAACAAATTTCTATTCTTTTACTTGGTACTAAACTTTAGTATGGTTAACTGATACAGGTAGTCTATATTAGCTCATTGTTATGTGAAAAAAAGCGCATCAATACATTAACGATAGGATGATTTGTAAGGTTTGATTAAACTATAGGATCAAGTTTGAATTTTTAAAATTATAAAGACTAAATTGGAGTTAAGTTTGAATTATTGGTACTAAAAAATTTAAAATTATAATACTAAATTTTGTAATTTAACTTTTTATTTAGACGACAAATGAAACAAAGATTAAGGATATAATGAAAGGCCAATTTTCAATCAAATGAAACAAAGATTAATATATAATGAAAGTTTAGAAACTATATAGAATATTTGAAGAAATAAGTATGGAGATTTAAGAAGGAAAATATGATTTAAAATATAATATTCATGACTTTCTCTCTTACCTCTTTAAAATTTAAGTAATTTCTTTTTGTCCAACAATTATAGGATGGAGTATTTGTCCAACAATCCTACTTATTAATCCTACCTAAAAAAAAAAAAATTGAGGTGAATTAATAAAAGTCCATAGGGAGTAATGATTGTCCATAGTTAATTTGCAAACACCACTTAAAATTTAACAATTAATCATTCACTGGCATTAGCAAAGCAAGCATTTATTGGTAATTGCAAGTAAAGCATTACTAAAAGAGAATGAGGTTGTCTTGTCTAAGACTTTCCCCAATCTCATATCAATTCAATTACCAATCTCACCCCATTTAATTTTAATACAAACACTTTCTTGTACAAATACAACACTCCTATTGAGTAATGGCTCAATCTACCAATCCACTCTCATCAAAATATACAATCCAACCAAAATACACTGCTCAAAACTGAACAACTCCCACAATCCATGACAAGATAAATAGCACACAAGTCAGTTTATCGTTCGTCATCGCCATCGCTATCGCTATTAGACTGAATGCAATCACATGAGAGCCAGAAGTCCAGCAGCTTCGTGTTAACTGTAAAAGAATTCAGGGTCGTTCGCTCATGCTGTAGCCTTCTGCATGCTGGTAAAGACTATAGTTCTCCGGCGTTTCTATCTTCCCCGTTAGCTGCTCGTTCCCTGCTGCGATCAATTTCAGGAAGAAGAGTTCATATTCAATTGTACATCTTGTGTGGGGGTGTGATAGAGATGGATATCCAAGCAAAAAGCATTATCAAATGTGGATTTTCTCAAAGCATATCCATAGTTAGCAACTGATTTTTACTTGCACATAGTTGTCAGCAGACTACTGATATCAGAATTAGCACACCAGTTAAACGCTGGTGATGTTGAAATGATACTGAGGGAACTTATTCAGCTTTTAATTTAGCTTGTGTTATGCATGCTCGAAAGATTAAGCCGAAAACTTGACAAATTAACATGTTCTGAATCCTTCAAATAATGACAATAAAGTAGTTGGCTATTATATCAGGCAAAGAATGATAAATAGAACATATGAAACTTTTATGGCATACCCTCATAGAAAGACATCTGGCTGAAACTTCTCGCGGGTTTTAAACTTCCATTGGATGGAAACGTAGCATCAGCTTTGTTGGTGTTTGGATCCAGAAAATGCAGTTCAGAACTCATCTGATCAGGACTCTGGAAGCACATGTCCTCCCCCAAGGGTGCAGAAGTCTGAAGGGATTGAAAATCCACAGGTCTTGTTTTCTTATCTTTTGGTGACTCGACGTCGGTCTCCACTTCTGATTCGGCATAGGCGGGTGCCGTATTCTGCTGCTTCCTCTTCGATCGAGCGCGCCTGTTTTGGAACCAGTTATAGACATTTGATTCAGAAATTTGGCCATGCTGACCCAGTTCAGAGGTTATCTCTTTGATCTTTTGCTTGCTAGGAGTTCCATTCCCTTGCTCGAATATACGCTCCAAGATCTGAAGTTGCACGGGCGTCGGAGTCCATCGCTGCCTAGAAGTAATTTTGTGGCCGGAAGATGTCATCAATGGCTCACAGTACATATTACCCAATCTCATTCCTGCAAATCAGCAAGACACGAGCTTTGAGCAAGTGTATAGAGGAGGCTCATCAGATTGTCTCCAAGATCAAACGGAAGGAGCAGAAAGCAGTTTCCAATTTCTAACAAGTCATTTCTCATCCAAATTCTCTAACAATATCATCATCATCATCATCATCACCAAAATCGTTGAGTCTCCACTAGGTTATTCAATTTGCAAATAGTTGTATAAAACCCCCCTTATTGATCAATAGCTAAAGAAAATACATCTCACCCGTTAGATAACACGGTGATAACGATTTGGTTCATCTGAAATAAATTTTCTTTTTACTTCTTCGAAAAATGCTTTAGAATTAATTTTAGAGAACAAATACATTGTGATTCTTTTTTCCCCAAAAAAGTAGATCACTAAATGGTGTTATAAAAGCGCCTCTTAGATAACTATCCTGCAAACAACGAAGGAAGAGGGAAATAAATACTTTATGGCAGTCTTCCACACCCAAAAGGACCACAGAAAAAGTTGGATAGCATCACAAAAAGGAAACCAGTAGTGCAGTCTTACAGCATTAGATGTGTGCCCTTTTTCGAGGTAACAAAGAACAAAAGCAATCAAAATTCAACACGATCAATAAGAAAAGAGGCAATCGACGATACTCCAATAAAAAATCAACACCGATCGAGAAACGAACATCCTACTGGAAGGTCATTCGATTGAAATAAACAAGAACTTGGAGAAGAGCATTGCATTGGAGAATTAAAAAGAGAGAGAGACCTGTAAGATCGTGGTGAGCAGTGAGGGTCTTGTGCATCTCAACAAGCTGCTCGCAAATGGTGGCGTAGACAGCAATTTGCTTGCGAAGAGTCTCCAATTGGTCATCGGTCATGACTTTGACGTAGAGAGCGCCGGCGGCGGCGGCGGTGGTGGTTCCGGTGAGGTGAAGCGGAGGGTTCTGGTGATGGTAAGGATTTTGCTGCTCCGCCTTCTCCCACTCCATCATATTACTATTCTCTTGATGCCTTCAAATTTTCTTAGAGAGAGAGAAAAAGAAAACAAAGAAATATGAACGAAAGAGGAGAAAGTGGAAACTCAGAAGAGAGAGCTCAGCAAACAGAACGGTTAACCAGAAAAGTAAACAAACAGACAAATATGCGGGAAACAAAGCCACGGAAATCAAATAATTAAACCCAAAAATATATATATATAAATAATAATAATTAAATTAAGAAAAAAAGGTAATTGTCTATTGGTAGGATTCATAGTTTTTTTTAGTTGGGAGAGCAAAAAGTTAATAGTTTGATTTTTTTTTTTTTAAAAATTAATTACAGATCAACTCAGTCTGGTTAAGACAACTATCTCTAGCCATGAGTTTAAATTCTTACCCCTTTGCAAAAAAAAAAGGAGAAAAACTCATAAAATTCCAGGTTAGTCTAAAATTGATTTGAATTATATATTTTTATTTTTAAAAGTTGGGTATATATATATATATATATTATATTTTAATTATTTGGGTAGAGAACATGGGTGTTCATTTGAGAAAAAGAAATTAACCTAAAATTAATTTAGGAAAAGATTTGGCATCCATAGTTATTTGAATCTAAAAGAAATGGTAATTAACTAAAGAAAAGCGAAAAAAAAAGAAATAAATAAATTGTTACGGACTTTTTCAAGAGAAAGAAAAAGGGAAGACATCCCTGTCCAACAATTACGAGATACTTAGAGAATCAAATCCACATCGGATTTGATTTTTTTTTTTTCTTTCGGGAAAATATTCGGATCTAAAATGGAAAGCAGTTAAACCCAATTGAATTTCCTTATAAAAGAGGAAATTATTTCATTTGAAGGGCAAATAAAAGAAAGGAAAAATGAATAGATATTTGCAGAGAAAGGCAACCGGACGTACCGGTGGTGGAGGGCTGAGGTGTAAGAGCTTGTTCTGGCAGTGTCTCACCCTGGGGGTACCCGTCGGCCCAGTCAGCCTCTGACAAATTGACGTGTTATTCTGAAAGTTTGTGCTGTCTGCTACGGCGGTCGGCGGTGGACATCACGGCGGAGATAAAAAGAAGATGTCGGAAACTCTGCAGCTTTTGGCAGCGGAGGAGGAGGGTGTTTTTCATTTGTGTCAGAGATTGATGGTCGTCCTGTCCTAAAATTTAAATTAATTATTAATTATTAATAAATTAAATTGAAGAGGAAATAATAATTAAAACGTGGACACATGCAGGGTCGTTGTCTGATTTGTAATGTGCATGTGAGGATGTAATTAATTAGATGAGTCATTAGCGTTAATTGGATTTAGAAGATAAATCCAAAAGCCTTAATCATATAATATTTGCCTTTATTTTCTCTCTCTCTCTTTGTCTCTTTTGTTTAATTAAGATTCGGTTGGGATTTCCTGTATCTTACTTTTCAATTTGTGGTGGAAGGCAACCCATTTTTAGTTTCTTAATGGCAATGGAAATAAAATAAGAATCAAATTAGAAAGGCTAGAAATATAAGGCAAAATGAAATTTTTGATATAATATCTTCTAAACTTATATTTGGAATCACAATCGAAAAATGAAGTTGCCAATTTGAATATAAATAGTTAACTAAATAATTTCTCCAAGATTTAGATTCTCACTCCCATATTTGTAAATTTGTAATATTATATTTGGAAAGAAATGGTGATGAAATTTGTAGGCCTTTAAACCTAACAAGATAATTTTTTTTTTTTTTTAAGAAATGTTAATGGCATTTTATGCCCTTCTAAAATTAATGAATAAATAAAAATCATTAATTTTGGTACAGGATTTCACAGTTGGGAATTGGTTTTCCATTTTCTCAACTGTTATAGTGTGAGCAATTAAAATGAGAATGATAGGAAAAACTCTTATTTCCGTGAAGCAAAAGAGGCCTAATATTACAGATAATTCCCACATTGGATGAAGATAACTACCGAAGAAAAAAAAAGCTACTTAAGCGAGAGAAAATAATGGATAAACTAAAATTTGCCAACTCTTTTGAAAAATACACATCAACAAAATTTAATATGCATAGGTCACGTCACCATTTCGTTGGATCAACTAACAGTCCAACTCAATTCAGGAACCAATTCAAAACTAAACTTTAATGTCAAAGATAGATTAAAAATTAAATTCAAACTTCACGAATCAAACATGTCATCTTTTACATCGAATTGAAATTAAATTTAAATCTCGATGACAGAAGTATTGTCGTAGATCTAAAAGTAAAATGAAATTGAATAATGAATAATGAAAATCATATATATTAATATTAATGGGGATGGGGTTAATTAAAAGGAATTTGGAGTAAGGATGGGAATGAGAATAAAACAAAGAGAAGACATAAAAAACACGTGTAAGCAGGAGAGTGAGTGAGATTAGAAGATAAATTTGATTAATCCAATAAAGAGAGAAAGAAAAGGAAATTAAGGATGATTAGCCGACAGAGCATGTGCTCCACCACTAAGGTTTGTAAGGGCAGGTCAAAATCAGGGGGCGGCCACGCATTCTTCCTCTGCCCCGCCCTGCCCCACCACCAATCATCCACCAGTGTGAACACAAGAAGAGGGAGGAGCAGAAGCCTTCCATTTACATGGAAATGGAACTGGAGGAGGAGATTTCCGAGCGAGGAAAAGGATCCAATGACTTCGAAAGAATCGAAATTGGTCAAAAATGGAAAAGAGATATATCTCGTGAACAGATAGTTTTGAAGTGGAGTCCTTTTGAGGATGTGAGAGCTGAATAGGGGCATGGGAACAGTGTGCTAATCCACGCTCCAATGGCAGCCACAGAGAGTGGAGATTTTGAGTTCACCAGTGAAAATCTAATGGCAGCCACAGTAATTCTAGTTGGTTCGGTATGAATCCAGCTTCTTTCCAAAGTCCATGGACATTTTGATAACTCTCTGCCTCTCTCTCTCTCTATCTCTAGGATTATAGCTTCGACGCCCAGTGAAGCTGATGGAGTTTGCTTTCACATGGTGTGGTCTACGTCTACGTCTACCTAAACCTAACCCATGATGATAAATCATAGACCCACAACTTGCTATATGGGAATTGGCTCAATTGGTAAAGTTCCATTCGTCAAATTGGGTTGTTGTCTACTTTAATAGTAAGGTTGACCCATTTTTGGGCCGGCTTAATAAGGAGATTTCGTGTTGGGGTTGCTTTATCTCAAAACCAATTGACAATGAGATGAGTAGTTCATATCTATTATAAATTTGAAGTTTTCACGTGAATCCTTGATATGTTCTCTTGAGACCGTGACTCTTTTCATTATCGATCTTGGTCGAATTCTATTTTTGGACTGAAACTCGTTTGAGCATTTTAGATTCTAGTATCATAACATGTAAACTAAATTTTGAATTAGGAATGAATTCAGTCTTCAATACAAGAATTCATTCATAATTCATAATTCAAAAGTCAGTTTACATGCTATTGGACAAAAGCCCTTCCCTTTCCACCAAAATAAAACAAAGGGAGTATTTAGTTCCCGAGTTGAATCTGTGCATGTGTAACGCTTAGAGTTATGAAACCAAGTCTGGGAATTTATTAACCAATGAAAAACTTAAGTCTAACCCACATTTTTTACCTTTACCAGTTGTAAACTTTGCAAACTAAATCCAAATTTCTATAATCCGTTAATCTATTCCTGTGAGTGTGGACAATCTAACTGTACATTATGCAAATTCAAGGCCTCCAACTCCAAAGCTTCATAAGCACTAGCTTATTAAAACCATGAATCAAACATTACCTAAACAGGTAAAAAATAAATAAACAAGAAAAAGTTCAAATCTATGTGTGGTTTATCACGTTTTTCTGTCCATATAATAATGATAGATGGAGAAGATTTGTACAAGTTATACCTTTCGGCAAAGCAATCGACCATAGAAATTTGTGGCACCTTGCTTAAGTATTCGATGCTGGATATTACAATGGATGAAGAGGCAGGGGTTGTGCAAAAACTGCAGAGAGAAATATCATGTTAAATTTCCTATACAAATTATAATAACATCAGATAAGAGTCATTTACATCTGAACAACACCTTCACCCGAAGCCAATCTGCATTAAACACATCCAAATAAGGACATATGTACGCAAAAATAACACAAAAAAGAAAGTATATGTCGAGTGAATATCAATCGTGGTATCCTCAATTTTTGCTTTCCATGCAGTTTCTGATCACTCCAACTCCAAGTAGTCGAGCATATAGTCAGTGTTATCCTGAGAATTAAGAGTCTGCGCATCATTTTCGAAAATCCTTCACAATTTCTTCAACCAAATCATTGATGATCAGACCTTCCACCTCCCTTCCAGTCGTGTTAACTTCATCATCCATTAATGATGACCATGGTGTCGAATTCAAATCTCGAGCCATCACCCCATCAAGCAAGTAATAAGATCTGTCAGTTGGAGGGTGTGTAAACTTGTGGATGATGTCCCATACAGAATCCAATAACTTTTTTCCAAACAAAGGCGGTGGCGGCGTAGAGGAGTTAATGACTTTTGTTCTAAATCTGGACATTGTTAAACATGGTGCTAGTGCGAGTGGAAGTGCTTCGTTCAGCAGATCAAATAATAGTTTATGATCTACACTATATTCGTTCTGCTCCTTCTCAATGGTTTCGTTTTTCCTCTCTGATTTTCTGTAAGCTTCTTCCACCTCTTCAAAGATCGCATTGCTGATAGGCTTTGCAGCTGTGTTATTTCGTGAAAAGTTGTTGCCAGTTGATCCATCATACATACCAGAAACAATGAGAAGGTCTCGTACGTAAGCTTCTGCTGGATCTTCAAGTTTTGTGATTTCAGACTCAACGGGCTGCTGTTCCACTTTGTCCTCAAAATCATCCGACTCGAGTTGATTCAACTGTCTTCGAAGTTCTGTGGTGTAAGAAAAATTAATTAAATATTCCAACTCAGATATTATCCCCTGTACTTATTTGATAAGTGTCAGTCTCTCAAAGAATGAGATGTTTTAGCTAGTAATGCCAATTTGCGTTTACTGTATTCATAATTCTTTATGTAAGCAATGTTCATGTTCAGAGAAATTATATATCTTGTTAATACGTGTACTAGGATTTTTTTAGAATGGCCAGAATAAGTAGAAGCAGAAAAACTTTTGAGGGCAGTATTTGAAGAGAACAGACTTCAAATGTGAGTAATCAAGATGGAAATAACCACTATATAGTCATGATAACACAAGAAGAAACAGTTTATCAATGAACAAATATCCCGAGAGATATGACCTCTTAAAATAAATGAGTCCAGAAATAAAGGAAGGGAACTTTTTCTAAATACGTCATTGCCCATTGGTAAGAATACCCCACACAGAGTAAAAAGGCAATTCCACGGACCTTTTAAATTAGAGCTGATGTCCCTAAAGACCTGAGAAACACAATTCTCATCTCTAGGAGTCACATCTGAAGTTGATATTGGGCTGTGATGATCAGAAAACTTCCAGAACTCTTCTTGGACACTGCTGCACACAGAAGCAGGACTAGGAGGCACCTCAGTGAAATTCTCCTGAAATAATAAAGAAAAATGATTAGTGAAGATAAAAGTGCAGAATAAGAACTGATATAACTAAATTTTTATACCCTTTCGTGGCGTTCCCCAGAGTTCATTACAACAGTTGGTCCACTCAAGATGTCTCTGGTAGAGTATAGGTCGGTAGTATGCAATCCACTGATCGATTGAGTCTTTCTGCCAAACAACTTCCCTCTAAGAGTGAAATTATATCTGAAATTGGAAACCTTTTCTTTAAAATTGAACCTCTCTTTCTTCTGCTTTTTAATGTTCGCCACATGATCACTTGCTTCATGTTTTCTCTGAATGTGGACACCCGTTAAAATGTGGCGGTCCTCCAGAAGAAGCTTCCCAAATGATGTTCCTGCCACTGGAGCTGAGACTGACCTTGTGAGATTCCTAGGAGACAATTCTTTGGGAAGGACCTCATTTACATCTGCCTCATGCCTAAAAGATCTAGTTTGCATTTCTTCGGAATCTCTGAGTATTTCCCAGTAGTTCGTATGTTTTTCACTTGTCAATGTAGTTTCTACTTGCTTCGTTACTCTTTCCTGATCATATACAGATGACCTAGAGCTGCCACTATCCAGGTCTGAATCCTTACTCTGAACATTATTTCTCATTCTCTCTGACAAGAACCTTCTGGTATCTTTGTTTAAGAATTCTGGGGAATCTAACGCATTAAACTGAATTTCGCTTTTGCATGATCTCGTTGATTCTGAACGAAGTAGACTTATTCCAGTATCTCTAGTGATACTATCTCGGACTTGTGTTGCTATGTTCCGAGCTATTTGTCTAGAGTGAGATGGCTTCTCACTATATGGTGTCTCTATTCCACTTCCACGTGCAGCAGTACCCTTTTTAAAGGTTTTCCCTTGCAATTCGCATCTCAGCCGCTCCTTGACCTCTTCAAGAAAATCTTCGATACTAACTCTTTCTCCTAAGGTCCCTGAAGAGTTTGTCCAGTGCTCTTCATGGAGGCACATCTTATCAGGACCAGGCTTCAAGATCACTATCTTTGTCGGACCAAGCAATTTGTCTGTCTTCCGATCACAACTTATCAGGCAAGGGTGCTCAAAATCTGCATCCATGGATTTGCTTCTCAAAGAAAAGGATCCTCTCTGAGTCTGCTCAGCTCGGAATGTTTCCCTCTTAGTACCATCATCCAGACCTACACTTCTACGAGATTTCATCTCCACCGGACCCTCAGATTCTGCCGGGAGCTTCTGACTCGATATTTTCCCTGTGTTTCCATTAAGTGCCATCTCTTCCTGAGCCATTGACCGTCTGTTTATGCTACTAACTTCAATAACCCTTGAACAATGCCTAAACCTTGAAGCCTGCCATGCTTCAAATTCCTTCTTGAACTTTTGTAGTTCCTCCTCTTGAGGATGTTCCCTACGGCATGGTTTTCCCATCTTCTGACTGCTGCTCCATTGATCAGCATCCTGGTCATTATCATGATAAGATGAATGCAGGTCCATCTGCTTAGAATAATTCGATTTGGAGGATACATGAGAAGGCAAGCCTCTGCCAGTACTTTCTTTATTTAAGGTCTTCACTCCCTTGCTATTATGTCTTTTGTCACTTAGCTCCACTTCATCTTTTGCATCCAAGGGCAACATATCCATCCCCATGAGTCGAGCAACAATGCTTGGTCCATTATGTCTGGGATTTGTGCGCGTGGACATTTCCTTATCAATTAATTTCTTCATTGAAGACTCATTTTTGAAATAGTCCTTATCACAAAACACTTCATCAATTTGATAGGAGTACTGAAAGTTCAGAAACGATCACATAAAAAATGTTTGGTTAGAGAGCATCAATGGGAACAATGTGAAAAATGACACTCATGGATAGTATATTGGTACTGGGAAATAAGATCATTAAGAATAACAGAAAATTAGAGGATAGACCCTTGAAAAGGAGATTATTTTAAGAAAGAATGCTGTTTTGAGAATGAGAAAGTGAAACTATTTGTAGAAAATACTCCAATAAGGATGTCGTGTAGTAATAAGATTCACCTGTATATATTTCCTTTGAGTTTTCTTAACAGGAGGGCCAAGGTTAACTTTGCCATTTTATTCATATAATTTTCCTCACATAGGCTATTGAGTCCCTAGGGAGTGTATATGAACTGTTATAGCTGCGGGTCAATTAGTTTTAGGAACTTATGGTATTGAATTTATTAACTAAGAGAGTATATGCCATAGGTAATACCATCCGGTACAATTTTTTGGTGGCAGTCTAATCTAACTATGTTAATACATGCCAGATGATAGGTCAATCCACAATCAAACTTGGTTGCTGACAGAAATACTAAACACGAAGCTTTTTTTTTTTTCCTAACTCGTATGCTAACCATGATGTAATAAATTAAAGGCTGGGAAAAGATCTTACAGATTCAACTTTCAAAAAGATTCTGCAAATGATGTTGACTGAGCTAGAATACCAAATAGAACACATTTCCAGACAGATCAAAGCTTGATATCTTAAACTTAGATGGTCTAATTATATAGTCAGACTCGTTTCTAAGACAAAAATTGCATTGGCGTGAAAGCTTCAAGCTGTAAACTCTCAGAAGTAACAACATCTTAGCAAGATAATTCGACGTGAACAGTTGTTTGGTTAGTATAAAGCAACTGCAGATTTACCGATATTTCTTTGGCAGCACAATAGTTTTGGGAACTCTCTAAGTGCAGCTCCAGGCTATTTCGAGGGGTTTCTAGGCCTGCAGAATAATGCAATTTAAATTTAGATAAAACCGCATCGCATAGCAACTACTGTTAATATATATATATATATATATATATATTTTTTTTGAGAAAGACAGTTTATCCTATGATTAATTTCTGCTCAAGAGTATGCTTATATCTAGTTGGACTGAAAAATGTTTAACATTAATGACACCAGAATTTCCAAAAACCTATGAATTATTAATTTAAAGAAACCTGGTAATAAAGAAACATGGTTCTATATGCATACCAATATTCTACTGCAGACTCGGTCGTCCAAGAACAATTGATCTTGTCCTGGCTGCCAAACTAAGGTTCTAGATAGCACAATACTACATATTCTGATATTTTTAGAACTCAACTTAATGTCAGACACATTATAAAGGGAAATGTCTCTTTGAATAGTCGCGCAAAATGTTCTTCGTATAACGAAGGAGCACAATAAAATCAATCATACCGCCATTACGTCTCTTTTGATTAAAGACTTTCTTGGCCATGCTTCTGTGGTCAAAGTCAAGAGGATTCAATAAGCCTCCCATACAGCTCGTGGAACTACCATGAGGCCATCATTATTATGGTTCTGTCATACTAGTTTATAAACTGGCAAACTGCAACCAACAATAAATAAATATCAACGACAAAACCATACATTCCGAGCACACAAACAGTATTTAAATTAACAACCACGTAATATGTTATGCCAATTGCTAAGTAGTACAATTTTTTTGTGGGAATGGAACTCTGGTTATACCTTAGCTGTTTAACAGCGATCCTTTGTTTGAAAAAGCCTTCCGAGAAACAACAAGAGGCGACAAGCATTCAGACCAAATCCTGGAAATCAATATCGTGTATGAGTATGAGCAACAGAATCTACACTACACTTCAAATAGAAATTCCGAATAATTAATTCTTTATATACAAAACATGATCATTTTCCGTTTTCTTAATATTTTGATTTTCCGGAATCAGTAAGCGGAGAAAGTCAATAGCTCAGTTATGTACAAGAAAATCACGAGTTAACACAACAAGCACAACTGTTACAGAAATCAGAGAGAGACAAGAGAAAGACTATAGCGAGATCCATAGAAGGAGAAGCAGGTCAAATATCATATCGAAAGGCTTCAAGGAAATTCGTGGTACAGAGCATAGCAAACAAGAAGTCTACCGAAAAACAGGACTCATTAATCACTTTATTTCGTCAAAACAAGCCACCTACATCATAATTTGACAATCAACGAGTTCAAACAATCACAAACAATTGTCAGAAGACAAAATTTATTCAGAGCGGCGAGACTTGCATACATCGGCGGAGTTCAACAATCCAAGTCCCTGATCAGTAAGCAAAATTCACGCTCAAACAGAAAACAAAACGCAGTCTAAGCATCAGCACCGGCTTCGTCAACCAACTAGCTCAATTGAAATTCTCCGAAGTAATCGAACAGAGGAACAACGAAATTGCACGGCATTACATCGGAAAAGTTGCTGAAAGTTAAATCCGAAAAACAGAACACAGCGATTGAGAGAGAGATGTGGAATGGCGATCGCACCTTTGAGAAGAGAGGCGGAAATGGGGACGGAGGATGGCGCCGGCAAGAACTGGGGCGGCGAGTGGGGGAGTACAGTTAAATAAATGAGGTGTAACTGGGAAATTTAGCAACGAGGAAGAAATTAGAAATGGCGTCGTTCGTTGGATGCAATCATGAATAGGAATGTGTCGACGCAAAAAGTAGGAATTGAAAGCCATCAATTTTCTCGTAATAATTAAATAATAATAACAGTAAAATGATTACCAAAATGGCCAAACTATTTTTAAAAATACAAAATAAAAATAAAATAAAGGAAACGGAAACGATGAATATTAATAGTAATAATAAAGAGCGGTAAAGTACATGCCATATTATGCGTTTTCAAGCCCCGGTCCCACTATCCTTTTTTCCCCTTTTTTTCGGGTAATAAATTCCTGAGATCTTTCCCCTGAATTTTTATTGATTTCTTTTACAATATTATAATTTTTTTAGTACATGATTTTTTATTTTAATTTTGTTAAACTGCATCAAGTTCCATTTTACCATTTGTGGCTAAAATGTTGTTGTTGTGTAGGCTTATATTTAAAGTAATACACCAAACTCCGTAACGTTAAATCTTAAGGAGAAGAAAGTCAAGTATTTGAAATTATATTCTCAAATATTGTTCTACTAAAATAAATATATAATAATACATTCCAGTGATCATTTTGGTCCATGTAGTCTCAAAATGTTTGTTTTGGTCTCCACATTTTAAAAAAGCTGATCCATTTGGTCATTGTTTGCAAAATTTTAATACAAATGCAATACACTATGAAATTCTTTAATACAAATATATGATTGCATTTGAAAAAGTTGAAGGAATGTAGTATCACATTTATTTTAGTATAATATGTAGAGGTGGAGGATCGAACTCATAACCTCTTGGTTGAAGATTACCGTTGAACTATTTTTCGCTTTAACAAGATGTAGTGTCACGTTGAAATTTCGGTAGAAGATAAGAATGAAAATAAAGAGATTATGTTGGAAAAATTATTTAATTTGTTTTTTAATAATTGGAAAAAAAGGAGAGAAATACAGTTGGTTTGACGAGATCCGGTCGCATAACGTGAAATGATTTGTTGGAACAGCTCAGACGCAGTTTGCTTTTACGCACGACACTCCCATTTCCCATTTGGCGCGCGCCTACGCCTACGTACCAACGTGGCTTCCTTGCCCCTCACGCGCCATCCCCCACGCGTCGCCCCTCGCTTGTCGAATGGAATGTTAATAATATTTGTAAAATATTATTTTATTATTTATAGTACCAAGCTAGCTAGCCTAGCTAAGCTACTGTTCTTCTGACCCTGCCATTCTCAGTCTGACTATTCATTTTATTTTATTTATTTGCGGAATAATAAATAATAATATAATGCCAGCTCTTCGGTTCTGGGTTGGATTTTTTCAGTTCCCATAAGTGTCAATAGTCCATACCTTTTACGACAATCTAAACGACAACGTACGGATGCCTCTGGAATCGCAATCTGCAGTGGAAAATAATGGAAATTACAATTCCGAAGAAAAATAAATAAATTTTACAAACCTTCACATTTATCTATCAACTTTATTACAGGCTACGTACGTCTACGTCAATTTAAGATATGCTTATCGAATCAGGTATGAATTAAGATCATTATAATCTAGGTTAAATATTATTTTAGCTTCGGTATTTTAAGTTTTAGTTATTATGATATTTGTATTTTTAAAATGATTATTTTAATTTCTGTACAGTTAACTTTTTAACTTTTTGTTTATATATTTTTTATACGTTTGTTTTAATATTTGTACACTTTTTGTTTATATATTTTTTATACGTTTATTTTAATATTTGTACTTTTAGGAGGGATCATTTTGATATTTCATTTTCATCTCATAATTTTAGTACAACGGTTAACTCTATAGATTTTTTAAAAGTAGTCATAAATTTGAATTAAAGTATTTCTATTGGTATTATTATTTTTTTTAATTTTACAAATAGGGACCGAATTGACCAATTTTTATTAAAATATGGATCAAAATGAATGTTTTGAGAAAGTACTAGGACTAAAATAAACAAAATTTAAAAGTTTTAGATTTCTTTTTTTAAAATTAAAGAGACCCACATAAACAAAAATCTTAAGTAGAACGATCAAAATAGTATTTAAACCCATAAATACAGTATCTATACGTTGCTAAAATAACATTCTTGTGAAATAAATTTGGATTAAATTGAAATGATGTGATAAATAACTTCTTTTAGTTAAATAAATAAGGAATGAAGGTTAGAATTCTGACTTTTAAAGAGGAATATATAATATATCTTAATTAATTGAGCTATAGTCAAATGAGTATGATGTGACAAATAATTATCCGATGAACTAATAGAACGACACGATTAATATAAGTGCATATAAAATCTAAAGTTTGAAAACATAATTAATTTTTTTTAATTTAGAGATTAAATAAACCTCGTTTTTAAAGTATACCTAGAGTGAATTTATCATTTAACATTTTAAAAAAAGTGATACAAAATGTGAAGGGTAGTTTCTCAATTTGGGAAACTACCCTACAAGACTAACGAAATTGTCCCAAACCACCAAGATTTATACCAAAAAAAGTTCAGTTGTAACGATTTTAATAAATTTATGAGAATACTGTTATTCAAATTGAATGTTTGTGAATATGGGTGGAATAAGAGCTGCCACATTGACTCTCTTATTTAGAAACACGGGTCTCAGTTTATATAGGTCGAGGACAAGACAGATTCGATACAGTCACACACAGGTTAAAGTCCAATTTATTGTTACCGACTTCAAACAGGGATGCCATCAATGTAAAATTCACTAAACACCTAATATTGAGCCGTTTAAATGATATGACAACACTTCTCAAAGCTCCCTTATAAAAGATTGGGTCCATTCCTCATAAAGATACGCAACACAAAACAATTCTCACTAAGTTCGACTCTACATCAATTCAGACTAAATAGTAAGTTATAAGTTTCAAAATATACGTGATCTTATACCACATTAGTGCAGAGTTCTATCTGCAAGTCTTCAGCTCAATTGTAACAGGACTCCACCTCGACTCGGATACTAATGTAGCAGACCTTGACGAAAATCCTACATCATCCAATACATCGAAAGAAATTCTATAGTTTTCTAAAATAAAATATGAAAGGAATATAATTAAGTTCATGGGAACCTAGACATAAAAAAATCGAACATGTGTGTAGTGAGACTAGGACATTACGCAACTGTGTTATTTGGACCAGAAGTAGGGAAGAGGGTGAGAAAGCTCAYCTAATAAAAATGCAACAATTAATGATTGAATATTCCAAATTTGAATTTGGGTCTGCGTACATATTTTGGACTACCCTAATGAAATCCCTATCATACCTATATTCTTTGCTTTTACTTGGATAAATGGATCTTCTAAAAATAATAATAATAATTTTAGTATTATACTTGAGGTTTTTTTTTTTTTAATAAATTTTGTTTGTATTGTTTGATTTTGTGATTGGATTTGGGCACGTTTTATAGTTATATTAGGGATGATTTATTAATTGATTTTTTTTTCAAACAAGTTTCTAAGTTGGTCGGTAGAGAAATATTGACTTCACTATTATTCAATTCAATAAAATGAAAATTTAAAGTTAAAATTAACTAAATACCCAATAGAAATTTTCATAAGGGAGCAGCAAGATTTTACTTTCTAATTATATATAAAATTTTTCAATTCTAAAAATTAAATGAAAGAAAATTTGAGATTTTTATTATTATTTTTTTAAATATGTGAGTTGAAGAGAAACTAAAATTAGTCTCCTTATATTAGTACTAGGGCAGTATACAATTTTTTTCCTAAAAATTAAAAGAGAGTCAAAGAATTTAGAATTATGACATGATAACACACTATACGAGTAAGAGAAATGATTTGTTAGGTTATAAACCGAAACTGACCTCTCTCGATCAATACAAATATCATCATAGATATGACCGTGTCGAGAGAGACTTGACCCGAAAAAAAAGAAAGGGAAGGAAAAGGAATGGATAGGAGGAGATGGGGAAAGCTTAGGTTGTAAAGGGGAAGGGGTGTGTATGTGTGTGTTATAATGATATGACGGTGAGAGGACCACATGTTGTGTTGTCATGTGGGACTTGAATAAGGAGAGAAGTGATGATGAGCCCACCCCAATGGCAATGCCTTGCTATAAGATTAGAGTCCCGGTCTTAGCCTCGTTCGGACCACCGATCAAAATTTGATAGCTTACTATTTTCTAAAAGGTAGAGAAATTTTTTTTTCTTTTACATTTTTCTTTCGTGGCGGTTAAAAATTTAGTGGTAGTCGACGAGAGATTGATGTTGACCAATCAGCACCTAACTATCTTTCTTACCTAATTACAAATTTATGGTTTAAATACTATTTTTGTTCATTTATTTTCCACCTTTGTTCATTTTTATTATTGTACTTTCAACTTTTGTTCGTTTTAGTATTTTTACTTTCAAACTATTCGTTTTTGGTCCCACTATTTTTAGAAAGTATCCATTTGAGTTCCTTAATTTTTTTTTATCACAATTTTAGGACGACATGCACTTAACTCACTGTTTTTTTTGAAATGTAGGTATAAACTTGTACTAAAAAAATTTACATTGTATATATAAAATTTTGCAAATAAGGACTAAAATGGCCACGTTTTAAAAATACATGGACCAAAATAAATCTTTTGAAAGTATAGAGAACTAAAATGAACAAAAATTTAAAATATACGGACTAAAATACACGTTTTGAAAAGTACAGAGACGAAAATGAATCAAAACAAAAAACACGTCGACCAGAATAGTATTTAAACATAAATCCCTTTGCCCCTCAATTTCTTTCTTTTGCATTTGGGGCCATTGCCAATGGGGACCAATGTCTTACATTATATTATTAGTTGTGAGCTATGATTGATTTCTCTAACTAATACATCCCCCATGTGCCCCCTCCCCCCTTCCTTACTTCTAACTTCCCATCTCCCATCCTAATTTTTAACCCAACATTTTCCTTTCTCGTCCTATTTCTATGCCCCTAAATTTAATGTCAGACTCGACCCTCTTAAATACCGAATTAATCATGTTCCAAACAAAATAATACGTTAGTTGTCAACTTCAGAATTGCTCATCTGGTTAAAGTATCTATTTCTTTTGTACTAAAAAAACACATTTCATTTAACCGCTCCTATGATCAGATAAACAATTTTTCTGTTATATTTTTACATTTGCATGGTTAAATATTTGCATAAATAACCATTAAAAAATATACAATATAAATATAGCAAAAAAAAAAAAAACCTTGCATTAATTAATTGTTATTATTATATTTTCAATCAATTTTTTGGTAAATTGATTAATAATTTTCTAAAAAGAAGTGTTATAAAGTACATCTGCCTTTTTAAAAGTTATTATATATGCAAACACTATAAAACTTGTGATTACTTTTTAAGAATGGCTTATTTCGGTACTTCCAAACGTAAAAGATCTGTTTGGAACTACAGGATTATGAGTGATTTTAAATCTTATCGATTTCAAATAAATTATGTTGTTTGACACCTAGAATTTTGAATCAAATCGTGTTTTATGTAAAAAGATATCAAAATGGTTGGATTTACCGATTTCATAAAATTTCAAAATAAATTACTTATTTAATTCTTGTCATATTTTAATTTCTAATTGATAAATTTAGATTAAAATCCTAAATCAATAAAATTATAATTATAACCTTCTTTTTAGTACAACAAAAATAGGGATGAAGGACTCAATCTCCGACTAAAAACGAAGAAGTACATGCCTTCATCCTCATATTGATATAATTATAGCTAATTAATATCTAGATTTACTATCAATTATGCAAATCAATAATTAGGAGTATTTTGGTGGGAGGTTGGAATCTCTATTCTACCTGACCTAAAAAAATTACTATTTAAAATAAAACTATCTTAATTACCAGTATCATAATAACTTATTTAAAGAATACTATACGCATTATTATTTTTATGGAAAATACACGTTTATAAATATTTTAAAAAATTAGATTTAAGAAGTGTGGATGTATTTAGACTAGCACGGCCCGACCCAATAATTTCATGAGGGATTGGGTTGATACATACACAAAGCATAAGCCCATCTTCACGGCCGATCCGATTATTTGATATGCGAATTCAAAGGAACAATTTTTTTTTTCTTTTTTCTTTTTCGAAATAGGTTAGGTTGGTATATTTAAACGTAAATATCGCTAAAAAGGTTGAGGTCTCAATTTCATGGAAATGTCGATAAAATCTCGATATTGCTGGATGTTTTTGTAAGAGTTAAAAGAGAAATTAAAAAAATCCAATAAAATATTTAAATTAAAAAATTTATATTTTTCTATTTCTAAATAAGTTAAAAATAATTAATATTAATTTTCTGTTATTTTATTTTTCAAAAAACATTTTGAAATTCTATGTAAATTTCAAAAAAAAAAGTAGTTTTTAAAAATAATTTTTTTTTTTCAAAATCTCATTTTTCTTTTAATACTCAACTTTTTTTTTCTTTCTCGTATTTATCTCTAAAAAATTTTTTCACTCTAATTTTTTTATTTCTAAATTTCTATCTACAAAACTTTTTTTTCTCTCTCTAAAATTTTTCCATTTTGAATATTTTATTGTAATTTATCTCTCTCCAAATTTTTCTGTATTTTTGTTTTTTTTCTAACAGACCAATATAAAAATTTAATATTTTCCTAACTTTATTCTCTTTAAAATTTCATATTTTGTAACTATTATTTCTCTTCGTAATCTATTTTTTCCTCTACATTATATTTTATTTTCTTGTTCAATTTTCTTTCACGCTAACTTTTATTTATCTTTGTATTTATTTTTTTCTATAAAAATTATATTTTGAATCTTGTTTTTATCTCTAAATTTTTTCCACTATAATTTTTCTTTTTCGCATATTTAGGTCCCAAAAATAGAAAATGCATGTCTCGGACCCCGTCCCGTCCCCAATTCCATTTTTTAAATAATTAATATATATTTATTACACTTTTTTCTGCTTAAATTCTAAAAATAATTAAAAACAATTATAAAGCCGATAATTTTTCTCGAGAACATCTCTTAGACCCAAGAACGAGGTGGAGACGGAGACTAAAAATTTTCACGAGCTCGATAATCGAAAAGAACATCTTTACTCGCACCCACACCATTATCATCTCTACTCTACATAAAATTTTCTCTATATCCGGAAAAGTAAGAAAGTCAAGTGCTAACGTGCAGCTCCCATTCCTCCACCAAGAGAAAGCCTAAGAGAAGACCATGCTACCAGTCCTAGCTGGCACCGAAGCCAAGGGAAAGCATTTGAACAAGAGGAATGAAAGAAGAGCTTATTCGTATTCAATGCGGGACGACCCAGCCTCCCAGATCCGCATCAGCGAGTGGTGTGACGACGACCAACTTGATTTAAAATAACGATTTGAATGTAATGACTCGGGAAAAGAGAAAGCAGTTCTGCTTTCTTATTTTCAATTTTCTAAATTTTTAAAAACATAAAACTAAAAATGGTTACCAAACACGTTTTGTGAAAAACAAAAAACAAAAAAGGGTTATAAAAGTTTTTGTTTTTTAAAAATAGAAAACCAAAAACTAAAAACAAGAAAAACCCAAAAACCAAACATGGTTATCAAATGGGTCGGAAGTAATTTTAACCGTATCAAAAGTTATTTTGGACCCAAAACACATCCTTAAATTACTGTAGTAATAATAGTACTGTACATCCATAAGATTCTATTTCTAAAAATTAAACTTGCTTGTGTTTCGTTTAAAAAAGTAAACTTCTCTGACTCACTTTTTTGAACAAATTTTTGTTGTTGTTATTCTTTTTAAATTCTTAGATTAATTTCAAAACAAAACTAAAAAAAGATCTAAAAGTTTTTTATTTTATTTCAATTTGGCCATAATTTAAAAATTATTGATTTTTATTTTTTGTTTTTTATTAACAAATAAATATTTAAAAATTGTATAACTATGTATTTATCTATTGACAACTTGAACCTAACTTACTTTCGACTAGAATGTTGTGAGTTCAAATTACACCTCCGCATGTATGAAGAAAAACTATATATTTATCTATTAAATATTTATCCATTACCTATTAATAAAATGGCAATTCTTACTTGCAACTATACACATGGTTCAATAATTAAGGTATTTTGTTTCTTTGGTATAGGTCGGAGTTCAGTCCTCCATCTTTGTACTTTGTATTGAAAAATGGTAATTCCAACTCAATCCTCCCGGGAGTACTTAATTGGAAAATTAATTGTACATAACACAAATAACTATTCCACATTATCTCATATTTAAATCCCAAATGAACACAAAAAGCAAATAGCGAGACACTTTAGGCAGTCCATTTCACCGACTTAAAAGCAGAAGTCAAATAAAGCAAATCATTAAAGAGGGAGAGTTAATTAAAATTATTAAATTAACATTTTTATTTACCCCAAATCTTTGGTACTTTAAGGGATTTCCCTCCCTCTCAGTTACTCCTCATTCCTTTCCTTCGCTGTCCAAATTGTACCAAAAATATATATACTCTTTTTGTGCCTACCAAAATATGTATACTTGCATTATCATTAATTATATTGGTTTAATAATGTAGCATGCTTAACTCAAAAGAAAAAAAAATTTAGATAATAATAATAATAATGTGGTATGCTGAAAGCCTCAACTACTCCCAATGAGCAAATCAATGACTTATTTTTTTTTTTAGGATATGTCATATTTTCTTAGTCATAAACTTGTTTTATTAATCTGCATGTTTGAAATTAGTCTACTTAAAAAGTCAGTGCACTGCTACTTTTAACTATAACGTGTCACATTTAAGAGATAAATAGACAAAATCTATTGAAAGTTTACAAATCAAATAAACTAATTTGATTTATTCTTCAATTAAAATGAGCGGGTGATTATCATAAGAAATTGAAAAAGTAATTACAAAATATGTTGAAAAAACAAAGAAGCAATTAAAAACTTCCGCTATCAAAAAAAATAAAAATAAAAACTCTCGGTTTGCCACGTGCCGTACCTGAATTCAAAGACAGGGACATAGGTCCCACATACAAATCCACGTGGCATTCTTTCACTCGTCAGAGTTGTTCGTTTTAACCCATCGTTGTCACGATCACCTAATCAACGTCCACGTGTCCCCTTCAGATCATCCAAACCTTCCTTTTTTGAAAAAACCGCTTTGGTTCCTCTCTGCCCCACTCATTTTTGTGTCTCTGCTCCAAAAGAAACTTCATTATAAGACAAGTTAAGCTTCTTCGGTTATCACAAAGCGGATTTCATCTTCCATTTTCAGTCTTCTCTTCCGATCTCAGGCATCAGTGACTCAGATTCTTAGTGACTGGAGCTCTCGCAGCCGCATCGCCAAGATGTTCGTCAAGAAACTCGTTGATATGGCTTCGCGGAAGGCAAGTCACTCTGTTACTGTCACTATTTTCTTTCCACTCAGATTTTCTTCTCTTCTTCTTCCGATCGTCTTTACCAAATCGTCAACTGCGCACTGTCGATCGGACTCTCTGATCTTAAAATGCTTTGATTCTAAGCAGCCTGATCACTGTTTCGATTTAGTTTTAATTTCTGCTTTCGTTCTGCTTTGTTACTGATTTTGTTTTGCGGAATCTACGAGGCTTGAATGAAACGGAAGTTCGAATTGATTAACAAGAGTTTTCACAATTGATCTGTGCAGAGTTCATTATCTTGTTTCTATTTATTAATTTTTTGATATTCCTGGAGAGTGCGGGAAATTGGAAAACGTAGCAATCTGGAATTCACCTAGAAAGTGTAGTCATAGGAGTTGGAATCCCTAGGATTTATTTTTTTTTAGAATCGGAATTAGCAGAAGCTGACGCCAATTCCTAATGCAACTTGTTTTATGATTTTATCATTCCTCTTCTTCGGCTCTCTGCAAATCGGGGGCCTCGAGTCGAAGAAGAGGAAGAAGCTACCACTGGCGCTGCGACGTGGCGTGGATTCATTTGTTGATTAAAAAAGCCTTAATAGTCTATCGAGTCGATGAGTCGGCAGATAACGCCAAAACCGATATCGGATTTATTTATTTTTATGAAAGAAGAATTAAATAGTTGTATGGTCCGCGACGATTGGGTTCTGCCAGACGAAATTTTAAAATCGGCCGAGGGCAAATGATATTTGTGTTTTGCAGCACTCGTTCGTCTTTGGAAATTATTATTTTAAAAGTTAAAGTTTGTTGGCTTCTGTAAATCTTTTTATTTTTCGATTTTTTTTTAACCTATTCTCAAATCGAGTCATCCTCAATCCCAACATCTTGTGAGAACAAGAAGTAGGTTTGAATTCTATTTTGACGTTGAATTTTTTTAGCCTTTTTTTAATATTTCCAAATATTTATTATATCCCTAACTTTTTAAAATACATTAAAAATTATGTAATATAAATATTTATTATCAATTTATCATATTGTTGTCGAAAAGAAAATTATGTTTTTTTAATAACCGAGTCCAGAAGAAATAAATGTATGAGAGTCAGAGACACGAGCAGTCCACGTGATGGGCGGCGAGTTGTTTGGGTAAGGGCTGGAATGTATTTAGAATTAGACCCTTCATAACTAATATTTACAGATTTATCTTTTTCTTCTTTTTTTTTTAAATATTATTTTAAATAATGTAAATTGATATCATTGCATGGTTTTGTATATTTTTTTTACTCCTCTAACCTTTTTTTTCTCTTTGGCAAATAACTCCGAAATTACCTCCCATTGTCGTATGCTTTTTAATATGAATTTCAGTGAATTGTTCTTTTGGAAAAATTATCTTTAGAGTTATTTGATCTGCTAAGGTTTTATGCTTCAATGGCAGATATGTTTTTTTAATGATTTTTATTTTTAGATACATATTCTGAAATCCTTAAAGTCTGTCCCAATTTTTTTAAACTTTTCTTGTCAGAATTATTTCTCTGGATTTCTCAATTTTAAAGTATTGATTTTTTTCTTTCGAGTTCGAGATTAAAATCTTCGATCTTTTAATCTTAAATATGTCTTAATGAGCTCTTTTGTTGGAAAATTCTTTGACAATTTTATAGTTTTTTTACGTTTAGATATTAGACATTTTTTGAATTAGAAAGTAGACTTCTAATGTAAGCTAGTCCTCTTATTATCCCTTCCTTGCCAGACAAATTGTCCATCGGCAGTAATCTCCCGCGGGTGTATCTTTGCGGTATTCAATATACGAAAGCCATTGATATCTAATGTATTGAATTAAATTTACCCAATTCATCGGCTTAAGCTTTTGGGTTGAGTGTTGGTTTATTTATCCTTAAAACCATTTCCGTTCTTCACTGCCAAGGTTTAAATTATTACTTGTAAAGAGATACAAAAGAAAAAGGGGTGGTTGATTTGTCCATGGAAGGAGGAGTTTGCATTGATGAATGAGAAATCTTCCTTCTTTTTTTTTTTTTTTTTTAACATGGAGAGGGGATAGTTTTGTAACAATTTGACATGTTTGTGCTGCAGCCAGGAGGCACCTTTGACGGCTTAAAAGGATGTGAGGTGGAACCACGTCTTGCCTTCCACTATGGCATTCCATCAGGTTCTACTACGTTTGCTTATGACTCCATCCAAAGGATACTTGCTCTTTCTACCAAGTAGGTGTCCTTCGCCCCATCCTTGATCATAACTTCTTTTTTTTTTTTTGGTCCAAATTCTTCTCCAACTAGTTACCCATTTACCTCCCATTTTGCAGTTAATTAATTGGTGAAAGAATTGAATGTTTAACTTTCAGTGCTTATTGTTATTCGTAGAGATGGTCGAATTAAGCTATTTGGAAAAGATAACACTCAAACTCTACTCGAGTCTAAGGAGGCAATTCCCAGCAAGTTTTTGCAAGTATACTGATTCTTATCTTCTCAGTTCTGTATCTGGTGAACATTTTTATTTTAGGTGCTTCCTAACAAGCCTACTTAATAAGATATTGAGGTTTTTCACTTTCAGTTCATGGAGAACCAGGGATTCCTTCTTAATGTTACTGCAAACAACCAAATTGAGGTAATTCACTAAGAGGAGACTAATTCTGATTTCAACCAAGTAATTTATTCCATTAGGTTATAATCACTTCATGCAGTCAATGATAGTTGTGAGTCATGATTTGTCTGTCTCCTTCGTAATATAACATAATACTTATAGAAATCTTTTTGTGTAGGTATGGGATATAGACAAGAAGTTGTTGTTACATGTGCATGTTTTCGAGGAAGAAATCACCTCTTTCACGATCTTACAACAGAGTCCATATATGTAAGTTTGTTCTGCTTTCATTGAAAATCTAGGTGTGTTACTGCCCTTAAGTTTCTTATGAGACTAAAATTTGCAGGTATGTTGGAGATTATCTCGGTAATGTTTCAATTTTGAAGCTCGACCAAAGTCTCTGTAACATAATACAAATGAAGTACACCATACCTGTTTCAGCCTCACGTGGTGAGACCAATTTTATTTTCTTCTTCTCTGCAGTCTCTTCCAACATCTCTCTCACAAATTGTTCAATTGTAATCATGTACTGACAAGTTGTTAACAATGTAATCCCTGTTGATCACTTAGTTGTGAACTGATCTATGTTAAAGCGCGGACTTCACTGCATCCTTAGCAAATAACGTAGATTTAGAATTGATGAAATGGGGCTTATAATCATAGCTCCCTACTTGATTAATCAAGCATATCCACGCCACATCAGAGAGATACATACATACACACACATATATTATATTATTGTCAAGCAAATGCATATCTGTATAAAATTGTTTGGTTTTCTTTTTCCAGGACATCTACTTCCTACCTATTTTTCTATTCGAAATTCACCTCTATTCTTGAACTGAAACGCACCAACCATCTTGTTCAGGAAATCCAGCTGAAGTTACCAGTGATATATCTATAAACCACATATTACCACAACCGACCACTGAATTTAAGAGGTAATGCAAGAAATCATGGCCCTGACTCGCACTGCTTATTTGTTAAAAAAAATAAGTAGTTGAATTATTAAAATTAAAGTTTATCGCTATCATCTTTGTTTCTACTCCTTGTAGAGTGCTTCTAATATTCAATGATGGCCTGATTACTCTGTGGGATACTAAAGAATCCAGATATATTTTCATCACGGGTGGAAATACCATGCTATCACCATATCAAGAAGCAAAGAAGGTGACCTGTGCATGCTGGGTCTGCCCTTTAGGAAGTAAAGTTGCTGTTGGGTATGGCAACGGAGATGTTTTAATATGGACTATTCCTTATGGCAAAAATCCGAGAACTGATTCAGTGTCCGAGAATAGCACTCGAACTGGTCCTTTATGTAAGCTTAATCTTGGATATAAGTTGGACAAAATTCCTATAGCGTCGCTGAGGTGTGCTTATGTGGATGCAAAAACAAGTAGACTATATGTTATGGGTGCCTCTGCGAACTTCCTGCAGGTACTGCAATTTATGATGAAACCGTTTCCAGTATTTCCCAGAGAAGCATATTATTTATTAATAAGCACGTTATGATGACCTTTCAAACTTGTAATTTTGGTGTAACCATCAACAACTTGAAGAATTGCAAGTTTAATTATGAATGTAACTGAACAAATTTAGACCATAGTTTTGCTCATCTCTGTTCAATATGATGCATGCAGGACCTAAATTTAAAGTGAACTTAACTAACATTTAAATAATTTGGAGGCAGGTAGTCTTGTTAAATGAGCAAACTGAAGCTCGCATGATTAAATTGGGGCTTCAGCTGTCCGAACCTTGCATCGACATGGCAATCATTTCAAGCCTCAACGATCACAGCAAGAACAAGCAAGATTATTTATTATTGCTTGGGAAATCTGGCTGTATTTATGCTTATGATGATTGCATGATTGACAAATATCTCCTACAACAATCCCAATCCAGGTCGGCAACCTCACTTCCAAAAGAGGCTATGCTTAAGATTCCGTTTGTTGATTCAATCATAACTGTGGCAAGATTTTTCATCAATAACTCTAGTTCTCTATATGCTTCAGATGAGGTATGATGGAAGTGTAATTCATTTCATGCTTTCGTGCATTCAAATCCTCACCATATATTAATTTTCTTGTCAGCTAAGAGAGTGCGCTTTCTGATATGTTGTGTCACTGTAGGATTACATTCAGCGGACAAAAGACATTCCTTCACTTTTTCTTTCTGAGCCAAAACCAAAGGAAGTAACATACTTAAACACAGTCCAGTTTGGTGGATTTTCAAAGGTTGAGAATTTGTATATATCTGGACATAATGATGGAAGCATAAACTTTTGGGATGCATCATGCCCTATTTTCATCCCAATATTTTCTTTACAACAACAGGTAAACATTTTTCTTATCTCTGAGCTTATCAAGATTTCAAATGAAAGAGAAATTTGCGTATCTATTCATATCTTCATTTTCTTTCATTAGCTTTAAGTTCATAATTGAGGACTCTATTCCTGCTGCTTGGGCTGGATTACATGTTTTAACTTTGCACAGGAGATATAAACATTATTTGTTTTCTTCACCACAAATTAAGCGCACAGATCGAGATTTGGACAAGGACCCGTTAAAGGATTTTAAACATTATAACTATATTTATTCAAAATCCATCTCCTATGAGCTAGCTATCTTCCCTTACTTGGGACATGAGTAAAGCAGGCATGCCATGACAAAACTTGGGAATGATTCTTTTCCATTTAGATTGTAACCAAAAATAAAATTTTTACTGAAATTATTGTTAATAATGCAGAGCGAGGATGATTTTTCTTTAAGTGGTATACCGGTGACAGCATTGCATTTTGATGGCAGTTCCCAGATTCTTGTTTCTGGAGATCACAGCGGAATGGTGAACTAATATCTTGAGTAATATTACAAAACTGACAAAATAGGATTCTTAATGGTTTAATATTAAGACGCTATTGTATCTGACAGGTTCGTGTCTTTAAATTTCGGCCAGAACCTTATGCAGCTGACAACAGTTTTATGCCTTTCCAAGGTAGTTTTAGGTTAATGAATCCATGACTTGACTAAGATGTATTGTTTGGTTTAATTATTTATTAAGTAGAGATGAGTTTTCCATGGTGAAAATTGTAATTATGTGTTCTGAAAGGGATCATCGTGACATACCACAGGAAGTACGAAGAAACGGAACAATCATATTATGCAGAGTGTTAAACTTATAAAAGTTGATGGTCCAATACTTGCAATCAACATAAACCCCAGATCAAATCATCTTGCTGTTGGATCTGACCAAGGATGTGTAAGCTTAGTCTCTTATTTTGCACTGTGAAGTTGCACACTTTCTTTTCACATTGAATGACTGAATGTCAAGAATGTCAGGAGACTATACATTTTAGATCGATTTGCTCTATGTTTGGTGGAGAACTGACAAATTTAATTTGTTGCAACTGCTATCACTTTCAACAGGTTTCCCTATTCGATATTCAAGGGTCCAATCTAATATATCAAAAACGTATTACCAGTGAAATATCTGCCGGTATCATTTCTTTGCAGTTTGAAAGCTGCAATTTGCAGGGTTTTGAGAAAAATGTTCTCGCTATTGCGACCAAGGATTCTTCTATCTTGGCTCTTGACAGTGAAACTGGAAATACATTAAGTGCTAGCAATGTTCATCCCAAGAAACCCTCTAGAGCTCTATTCATGCAGATTTTATGTAAGATCTACTATCTCTCTCTCTCTCTGATAATGTATAGAAGAATCATACTGAATTTAATCTCCTGTTTTCTACAGATGGTCAAGATGCAGCAACCAGAGGATCAAGCATGTCAGATGATCTAGAACTGGTAAAAGGTAGTCCAGCTGTGGATAGCATGCCAAAACAGTCTCTGTTATTACTATGTTCTGAGAAAGCCTCATATATCTATTCCTTTGTGCATGCTGTTCAGGTAGGCATCGTCTTTAGGCACCCAATTGAGTTATTTTTCTACATTACTGAGCTACTGACTACCACTGTCATTGTTTCTTTCTTCTCAGGGAATCAGGAAGGTTCTTTACAAGAAGAAGTTTCATTCATCATGTTGTTGGGCATCAACCTTCTATAGTACCTCAGATGTTGGTCTCATGCTTGTTTTCGGCACTGGGAAAATCGAAATAAGGTGCTGGTTTTGCATATTTTGATCTTGCTTTAGTCAAATTATACCATGATAGAGATATAGTGTTTCAATATTTTCTTTACTCTATGATTTAAATGTCGATCATTAGGAGTGTTTTACTAATTAGAAGTCAAAGATTGCTCGATGCTTATGTTTTTAAGATTTTTGTTTCCATCATAGCAAGATATTGCATGGTTTACAGCACATAAGATTCAGTTTATTGTGGGAGAATGGCCGCTGGAATAATCAGGCTGTTCTTGAGCCATAAGTTCTTAATGCAACTTGATTGGTGCACAATACTAGGTTAATCTAGCTGTGAAGTTTAGTAATTTTATACGTGTACATTTCTCATAGAATTCCACCATCACATTTGGAGTGCGTATTTGTGATCTGTTGAACACATATTAACTTAAATACCAACCATTGTAGGTCCTTGCCAGAGTTCTCTCTCTTAAAGGAGACTTCAGTAAGAGGTTTCAGATGTTCTCCTTCAAAAGTTAATTCATTGCCTGATTGCATTATATGTTCTTCCAAGGATGGCGAACTTATTGCGGTATGAAGCATGGATGTTAGCATTTAAATTCTACCCACCCCCAACACAATTGAATGCTCTTATTAATCTCTGTCTTCTTTATGAACAGGTAAATGGTGATCAAGAAATGTTTGTCGTCTCGGTATTGTGCCATAAGAAAATCTTTAGGTATTTATTTCTTCCATGTAAAAATTTGCATCTGGTGATGATCATGTACGTCCTTCATATCCTCGGTGCATTCAAGACATGTTAACTGCTTTGTTTTTGTTTTAGGATTTTGGACTCTGTCAGTCACATATACAGGAAAGATCATACTTTTTCACAAGAAGGGATTATTGCTCACAAGGAGAAAAAGAAGGTAAGAAACATTACTTCAACTCTACCTAGAACAAGAATGTTCAATCAAAAGGGTGACAAAACTTGTCTCTCGAATAATGCTAGGGTATGTTTACATCTGTTTTCCAAGAGATGGCTGGAAGCAAAACAAAGCAGGCTCCCGACATCGAAACAGAAGATGCTAAAGAATCTGTTGAAGAACTTTCCGTAATCTTTTCAGCTTCCAACTTCCACAGGGACGTTAAAATTGCTGAAGGTAGTGAAGACAAGTCTGCATTGGATATAGGTATTCACTCCACGTGCTAGTTTATCTTTTAAACTGATAAATTGTTCGAGTTATGAAACTTGATTACAACAATAATTTGTCTAAATCTATTGAAGTCTCTGTTCAGTATCCTCTTTTTGTCTAAACATGTTATATTTTGTCTTTCTATCCTTCAGATGACATCGAACTTGAAGATCCTGTTGAAAAACCAAAAGAACAGAGCATGTTGGGTAATCTTAACAAGCAAAAGTTGGCAAGTACATTTAATTCTTTTAAAGGTCAGTGTCCCACCAGTTTCTTGAAAATTAATCTTCTCTTGATGTATTTTTAATTGCTGGCTATATCAACTACTTTAGATTAGTTTAGAATTACATCTTTCAAAATTTATGCCTAAATTTACAGTTGGCTGCTTGGTGCGAGAATGTAAAATTGAGAACTTTTATTTCTATGAGAATTAAACTATAATGAACTATGGCTTTACAAATCCAAACTATACTAGCATACATCGTCACCCTAATCGAATCAGTATATACTTCATCAAAAAATTCAGGAAAGCTGAAACAGATGAAGGTCAAGACGGAGAAAAACTCGGCCAAGGAAGAGCAACCTGATTGGAATCCAGATAATAAGGCAGGTGCAGTTGATCAAATCAAGAAGAAGTACGGGTTTTCATCAGCTGGGGTAAGTACACATCTGCTACCAATCTTCTAGCTACGCATACATATGGCTAAGTTGAACTCTTACAAATGATGCCTTTCGAAAAAGATGATGAGAGGAGTAGGTCAATGGATCTTATAAATCTTGTCGGGTTCTTTGATATTATTCATCTGGGATCCTTAACAATCTTAAATAAGGAGAAAGATGTAAGCAATGTATGTATAAATGATCTAGATAACTCTAGCAGTTTATACGAATTCTAACTAATGATTCCTTCTTAAGATTGAGCCGACACTGCACAATTAGATATTGGTGATCCTTGGACGAATACAAAAGTAGATAGACGAATGCAAGCTGTATGGCCTCTTGGAACGTAGCTGTTAGAGTCACATTTCGGGGCTAATATTCCACTTAATCAGAAATAGATTGAGCTATTGATGTAGAAAATAGTGAACTAATTTAGAGTGTTGGTGTAAGATTTGATGAAGTTGCATCACCACTGATCACCATCCGTTTTCTTTGCTTGCAGGAAACAAGTGTTGCAAAGATGACAGAAAGCAAGCTGCAAGAGAATGTGAAGAAATTACAGGTACAATCCCCAACTTTCAACTTCAAGAAAAGTATGCAAAGGGGTTTTATATTAATTGAATTTGAGCAAAAGAGGGAAGGGGAATGATATATAATTACATTGTGCAGGGAATCAACCAAAGAGCTACAGATATGCAAGACACAGCAAAGTCATTTTCATCAATGGCAAATCAATTACTGCGAACTGCTGAACATGGAAAACGTAATTAAAAAGTAATTATTTGTTATATTTTGACTGCTTGGTGCTCACAGTCTCTGGTTTTTGAGTGGAGGCTAGCCCAGCACCAAATTCTCTAAATTCAAGTCATTTCAAGAAAAAACCTTTTTTTTTGCTTAAGGTCAATTACTGCTTTCATATAAATTAAACTGACATTTCATTGTAGGCTAGCACCTCGAAATCCAGTGTTATAATACGAGTAAAATTATTACTTACATATTGTCATTTCCCATCCATTTGTCGACCGAGATGGTACCCAGACTGGTGTATGCCAGTATCTTTATTTTCATATTGTAAAATATATTGAAAACGTATTAAAAGAATGGCAACAAAATCTCGACCATGATGAGTTAGGCATAAAGGGGGAAAAGGCCAAGAATAAAGGATGTAAATTTAGAAAAAAAATTCTTAGGTTCTGTCCATTTAATCTTTATTTACAGAATTTTAATACAATGAAGATACTCTAATACAAAGGAAATTGAAATTTAGTTAGTGAAAAATAAGATAAAAATGAACGAACTAAAATAATCACTTTTTAAAAGTAGAACGTTTCGATATAAAGAACAAAAGTCGAAAGTATAGAAACCATACCATTATAAACATTTTAAAAATATAAGGATCAAACCGAGTCAAAATAATTCTTTATAAGCTGGCTTAAATTAGACACGGCATGTGAAAGTAGCATATTTGCATGTGCTTATTGGTCCATGAATTTATTACAAATTTATCAAGTAGAGTCTACAGTAGAGAGAGTTTTAGCAGCCACCGGAGTCAGCTTTACAAATAATAAATACGACAGATAAATACAATCTTCACTCATTAAAACTCACTGTAAAGTTCAACCAAAAGAATATAATTTATAGATTTTGCAAACAATAAAAGCGTCTGGAATTATTTTTGAATCATAAAGTTATGGACAAACCACAGTGCCCCACTCACCAATATGGCATAAATAAAGATCACAAGATTGATGCACATGGTTTTGGCTAAGCATTTCTGACTGGAAGAAACTGGCTTAGGCTTAGGTTGAAGCACCTAATGGTGCTGTTCCAGCATGTTTAACACCTGCCCATGAATTTGCTCTCTAGCACCATCCCTGTTACTTGGATCCAACRTAAATATGGTTGCCCCTCGATGATTTCTCAGCCTTGCAACTGCCAAATTTTCACATTTTTACACAAATTAGGGTTTTTGCAATTTACACAAATTAGGGTTTTTGCAATCACCCTACACTGCAACAATGTAATTACAGACAACGTGAATGTCTCAACCAGCTTGCGTACATTTCGACTAATCTCATGGAGCAGCCACCTAACCCTATAATATTTGAATCCATGACAATATACAGAGCCTAAAGAAAGGTTTTAGTCTCTTTTTTGTTTTTTATGTTTGGATCAAGATTCTATGTAATGCTACTCTATTATATGCGTTTTTCCTTTCTCACCTACTACTACTACTTGTTTGTTATGTAATGTCAAATCAGTCAACATTTGTCCAACAGATATATCACATCATAATTTAGTATCCTTACGTTACAATTCAAAAATTAGACATAATTGATCTTTTAATTTAAAAATTTATAGACTACTAGATGGAAAGCTACTTAATTTTTGTAATTTAACTAAAGTAGTGATACGGAGGTGCGTTCATTATGGGAGAATTGAATTTCTACGAGTGTACCTTACCTCCAGGTATATCCCGACCAAACTTGGGAATGGGGATCGAAGCCACAACTGGAATATTTGATTCCAAGACCCTCAGAACTGCCGGAAAAAATGACGAACTATACAATTCCATCTTCCCAACCTCATCTATGATGAAGAGATCTGTATCTTTTTCAACCTGTACCAGACATCAACTTCAGTACCACTCATATTATGAGCAATTCGCTTCATTACTATAGATTAAGAACTTAGGGGCGTCCTCCACTACCGCTGATTTATACCATCCAAATGTAAACAGATTTATTGCAGCTACAATGTTCAAAGGTACAGCAATTCGGACGAGAATGTTACATCGGGGGTATCGATGTGATGTGACGCCCTCCCAAATAATTAAGCATGTGGTTTCTCAATAGTTATGGCCATAGCCCCCTCGTCACAATGGAGAACACTTGCATTAAAGAAAAAATCCAAAGGGAAGACAATATGTCTAATCTAATAAGGGGCGATGAAGGAGCTAAAAACAAGTCTTTCCAAATATTAAGCTTAATCTCTTTAATTAACAAACTAGAATCTTCTCAAACAAAATCTCTCCAATAGCACTAATCATGCTTGTTAGTTATTTCCAATCAAGAAGGCTTTGTAATGCTTGATAAGGGAGGACGTGTAACCGTTTCTCAGGTTTCAATTTCAAGACAAATTTTGTTGCTTTAGCTATTCAAAATAGAGCTCATCTTTAATTTTTAGGAAAGTAAAGTGCAAGTACTTCTTCCGTGCACGTTCAACATTTCAAATAACTCATATTACCTGCAATTCTGGCAATGCCAATGACTCGAATGATGCTATATCAACTTTATACCTCCCAACAGTGGGCCATCTTAGAGACTCTGAGCTGCCATCAATATTAATAGAGTTTAGCAGGAGCCATGGGATGATTAGTATTCGTTAACAATTTTTATAAAAAAATTAATGAAGATAAACGTACTATACATATCCCTTCATAACTATGGTTAGAAAAATATCCTATCAAGTTCAGGCACTCTTTCGAGGCTAGAGTGTAACCATTGGGGATGCATTCGAACACTGAGACACAAATATATCTGAAATTCTTGTTAATTTTCAATTATGTCAAAGGCAAAGAAGAATACACATCCATGGATTGGACAACACCATAATTCAAGATTTTAAAGGCAGGTCATATATAGCATATGGATACTTCAATAGACTTGGACACTTTAAAGAAGGAAAGAAGAAGAAGAAGCCCAATTCCCTCCTCCGTCTCTCTTATGAACTATGTGTTAAAACATACAATTCATTTTACTATCTAATTGACCAATCTTCGCCGTGTTTGCTTTATTAAATAGATTGACATGTGACCATGTGGATGCCAATTCAAAGCTGACCACTCTTACATTTAAAAAAGGGTTAAATGCATGCAAAATAAAGAAAACTTAGTGCAGTACCCATCGAGCAGAAGAATTAAGAGGGGAGCAACATTACAGCGATGAAGTTTGGAAATCATCATAATTGAAAACAAGTCCTCAAGGCATAGGAAACTCGAATTAGTTCAGGTAGCATTGCAGCTTAGATGAGAAATCAAGCAAAGGCAAAGGCAATCGCAAGAAATTGCATTACAAAATAAGGAAATCACGAACAAAATCTCCCAAGAATCCTACAGAATTGAAAGAAAATAAAGTAACGAGGAGAGAGAGAGAGAGAGAGAGGTAAGGACCTGGATACAGAGGTGGAGGCGAGGGGAGCAGTTCGGCCACCTAAGGTAACGACCTCAAAGCCAACACGGTGGCTTCCTTGCCTGATTTCTCCTGCAACAACGGAACACCCACAGCAAAATCGACGGCGTAGAAAGAAAAGAAGAAGAAATGTATATGCTGTGCTTACGAGTGTAGAAGCCTTGGATCTTCAAGTTAGGGTTGGAGGATTTAAGCATCTCAAAAACCCGAACGATTAGAGTAGTTTTGCCCACGCCCTGCGCACAGCACAAACCGACACAGTCATTCACATGAACATGAATCCATCCATTTCGAATTCCATTGTTACGATCCCCGCCGGAGAAAAGCTTACCGGCGGCCCCGTAACCAGCAGGCACCGTCCTACTCCTGGTCCTACCATTCTCACTTCTCACTTCTCACGCTTTTCAGACGTACCAACACGCCGCTTTCATTCTTGTTAGTGTTTTCATCATGGGACCGAACCCAAATTTTTTTTTCTTTTAATTTTTTTTTAAAATTTTTTTAACACGGTTAAAGAGGTGATTTTCTTTTTCTACACAGTGAGAATTTAATTTTTGAACGGAAATAGGATCTTAATCAATTGGAGAAAGAATTGAATTTTTTTTAATAAATAAAACACAGTAAAAGCATAGGATTTGAATCTTGACTCGAAATAAAAAAGTCAAAGAATCAATATTTGAATAGTGTTTCATCTATAGATATAACCAGTAGAGATGAAAAGACAAGTATATTTTAAAGTAAAGAGTTCTATCTTTCAAATATTTTTTACAGATTCATAAAATATAAATATCTAAAAAATATCAAAAGTGTAAAAATGAGCTCAATGATGACAGGCCTATCAGGTCTTTACTGGATCACAATATTTACTACTGTGTTGAGTATAATAACGTAACACAGTTTTTAGATACAACCACAGATTGGTTAAAGATCAGAGCAACAAAGCAAAGGGCCTAATCAGGCAGAAGTCTACATGAATGAGCTCAGAATTACAAAAGATGGAAATACAATTTGACTTTTAGCAGAATTAATTAACCATAACTCAAAATTCCCAAATTTGGTCATTTTTCAACTCAGGTGAGAAATCATAACAGGAAAAACAAATAGTAAAAAAAATATATATATATTTTCAATGATAGTCGAAAAGTTGAGAAGTCAACCAACACCATCATTTCATCCACCAGTGCCAAAGCTCAAAACAAGGTTGGGGAATCAAACAAACTTTCCAACTCAAGTCCTCCTGTCAGAAAGAAAAACCAGACAAAACTCACCCAACAATTTATTAAGCTCACAAAGTATCTCATGCATTTCCATGGAGAATGGTATGCTGATAGGTGAACAGGGGAATGGAATTAGCAATTTTTTGTTGATTCCAAGCTTCCCAGCACGAGGAAAGGCAATACACAAAATTCAAGAAGATCAGTTAGAATAATCAGCTAAAACTGAATGCTTGTGCCATTACTAACAGATTTTGCTTTCAAATACAGAACCATGTCAACAACTCAAGGAATCTAACATTGCACCTGATACTTCTTTGTTTCAATTTCTTTTCTCGCATCTATCCTACTTACCCAAAAAAGGGGAAAAAAAGGTAGCTATTTATCCGAGACATAAGAAAAATCTAAAGTGCTGAGTCTTTATGCTCCAAAGCTATAAAGGAGTTAAATGCTTGTTCTTCCACCGCCACACCTCCCTCGTCCCTAACATTTACTCATCGTCCTCCTCCTGCAATGTAAAAAATCAAATATTATCATCCACTTACTACGTTTTTTATTTGCTATGATTACAAAGTTCAGGCATAAGTTGAATCTGAACCTCTCCACTCTCATCATCCTCATCATCGTCGTCGTTGACTTCTGATTTGGACTTGTCTGATTCTTCTTCTTCAGCTCCATTTTCTCCTTCCGCCTAATGGAATGGTGCATGATTATACAGATTAGAATTAATGATTGTGTAACAAAGACATTGAGAATGAAAATAGGATAATAGGGCATACAAGTCTCTTATTATAAGCCTGCATGCTCTTATTGTACTCAGTCTTCCTTTTCTCAGCCTTGTTTATGTAAGGAGCTTTCTCCTGTAATATTAGGGAACATATGAGCAACAAGTAATTTGATTCCATTTTGTTAAAATATAATCAGTTTCCATTAAAATACTTACAGCTTCTGACATTGACTTCCATTTATCACCTCCAGCTTTTCCAACCTGTTTATTCACCAAAATAGCACGCGTTTACAAATCAAAGAATTTCCTAAAAATTGACGGAAAAAAAATCAGCGCGTAGATCTGAAATCACTTACAGCAGCCACGGACTTGTTATTAGGATGCTCCTTCTTGTACTGTTTCCTGAATTCCTCCCTATATATTCATCAACAAAAACATCGAAACAGTAAAAATCCGATACAAAATAAAAATAACCTAAACGATAAAAAAACGCGGATCTGAAAAAGAAAAATTCAAGACAAGCTCGAGAGAGATACATGAAAACGAAGAAAGCACTGGCAGGCCTCTTCGGCTTGTTAGGATCCTTCGCAGCCTTCGCCGATTTCTTACTAGCTCCAACACTTTTGCTCTTCAACCTAGCAAAATCAAACAACAAAACACGAAAAAAAAAAAGGAAAAAAACTGAGAACAGAACAAACAAATAAAACGCATAGGCAGGATCCATCCAACCGCCTACTCCGAAACACACTTCCACACAACACATCAAAATCAAAAGCAACCGATATACTCACTTAGTGTCGGTCTTTTTAGGCGCCGCTTTGGATTTCCCGCCCTTCATGACGAATCCTGCAGAAAAACGAGCAAGAAAAAAGGTAAAAAAAAAAAAAAACCGTTGTAGAGATGATGAGCAAGCAACGGAGCGAGCGGCGCAGAGATTCGGAGATTTACCTGCAAACTCTAGGGTTTGAGAAGAAGATAAGGAGAGAGAGATGTGGGGGGTTGCGTTTGGTTCGTGTGATGCGTTTGCGTTGGGCTTTGGGTTTGGGTTTGGCTTTGTGAGAGTGTGTGTGATGAGAGTGTTCTGTGGAAAGGTTTTTGAGGGCGAAGAGCGAGAGAGGAGAAGCAGTCGGTTCGTTTCTGAGAGAGAGAGAAATCGCGATATCAATTGAAGTCCGGGTTTAGGCGGGATTTCAAAAATCTTTTGCCACGTCATCGATCCGCGTCCTCGCTTCTCATTGGCTTCCCTTCCATTCCTTCCCCTCTTTTGTGTTTCCTTTGTGTGTTGTTTGCAATTTCTTCGCTGTGAATGCTTCCCTCTTGCCAGATCCGGACACGTGAGTTAAAGCCCGTTGTTTCGCCGCGAAATTACGCCTTTGCCCTTCCCTCTTACGACTCGTGCCTTTCCTTTGTTCGCAACTTATCAGAATAAACGTGATAAAACGATTAACGCGTCGTCCTGGTAATCGCTCGAGGATATTTTCGTAACTTCACTTCTCTTCTCTTCTCTCCGTCAGATATTTTCTCTCCTTCGACTAACACGGTGCGTTTTCTTCCTCCATGACTTGGGCTGGGCTTCGGTTTTGGGCCTTGGATTTGAAGACCTTCTTCGGAAGCCCATTTGTTGATGTCCGGAGCCCAATGTCCCGCCCAACTGCTTCCTGAATAACCTCCGTCGTATTGCGACGACGAACGGAGTGTTCGGTTTGATTAAGTTACTGTGGTGGCAGAAAAATTCTCCGGAAATGGAAGCGGAAGCGGAAGGAATCGTAGAGCATCGAAGCTCGTTTGCGGCTCCGTCCATATTTTTGGTTGTTATTACCTTTCAGTTTCTCGCTAGATGGCTCGAACGCACGAAGAGGGTTGGTTTTTTTTTTTTTCTTTCCCGTTGGAAACTTTTTCATGTTTATGTGTTCTATGATTCTGCTTGTATTTCAATCCTAAACCTATAATTGATGATTGAGTTTTGGCATGTACCTCAAATTTCGGCCTGTAGTGCGTTTTAGTTTTTCGTCGACAGACTTAAGAATGCAATATAGCCAACTGGGGCGTGATGCATTCTATGTGGAGATCTATCGATGCTTTTTAATCTTGAAATCGAACAAATTGTTGTTCATCTATCTTGTCGATTTGTTTTYTTCTGAAACAATTTTGTTTTGATCGTGTATTTACTTTTCAGAGCGGTTCCAACAACGATGTGGAAATGGAGTTGCGCAAATCTATAAAGCAACTTCTGAAGGAGGCAAGCGCCTTATCTCAGTAAGTAATTCTTTCTAGTTCGGGATCAACAGTAAATAGTAGTACATCATTTGGCTCAAATCACTCATTCAGTACGAGTGTTCTAATTCTTATGACTATGCTGGGGATCATATTGACTTGGTTTTATGTTGACGTAGACCATCTACATTTGCACAAGCTGCAAAACTTCGGAGGTTGGCAGCCGCTAAGGAGAAGGAACTGGCAAATTGTGAGGCTAATTAATTGATGCTCTAAAATCCCGAAATTTCCTTCGAATTACTTTTCTGTTTGTTTGACTTTGAACAATGAGTTGCTGAAATATTATTGTGTAATTGCTTTGTAACCGCTTCTTATCAATAATCTAGACGGTAAGTTAGCATTGTATGTTAAGTTTTGTTGTACAGAGTCATAGATGCATGAGCAGTTTTCGAGGATGCTGCTTGTAGTATCGACTGCTATGTGATATTGGAATCTTTGGATTAGAAGCTTGAGCAACAACAAAGCTATTTTCAGTTTAAAAGAATGGTTTATAGGCTCCTAATCTACTCGGTTCCTTATGCTGGTAATCATCCAACATGGTGCTCATGCTATGGATGGTCAATGAATTGGGATTTTGAACAACCTCTGAGCAGAAATATGCTTTGGTGTGGAGGGAATTGTAGGAATGTTATGTATGTTATTGGAAATAGAGAGCAACTTCTCATTAGTAAAACTGGTCTACGGTTTACTTTTGGTGTCTTGTTTCTGCCTTCTGGGAATTATGCATATATGTAAATGTAGGCATTAGCACATGCAAAGTGGAGAATTTGGTTTGATTTATTACGAAGTAATAAAATCTCTCCATGTTAAAGTATCAGCATCCAACTAATAAGGGTTTGATGTATACAAGTCCATGTGGTCATGACATGCGTTTCTGCACTTAAATCTACATCCTAAATTGAACTTTAAATATTGTATTTGTTATAATTGTAGTTTTTTACTGGCATATTTTCATGTTTGTGTCTCATTGTGTGTTTGTGTATCTATTTCCTAGGCTACGTTAAATTCCATTTTTCATTTTGGCTCTTGCTAAATACCATTTGAAGGTTGCTTGTGAGGCACTGATAATATATAGGCTTTACCAAGGTTATCCATTTTCAATAATTCATATCAAGTTATCTCAACTAGCGAGAGTAATGATCTCTGGACTTGTATTCTTATTTTGTCTAAAATCCAATATCACCCAGAATGCATTTTGAAGACAAATTATAATATAATATTAAAATAGCATCATCGTAGCCTAGCCTCACCTCCTGTTCATCTTATTTCAGTTGTTTTCTCCCATTAATTGTTTTTATTTCCTTGAGTACTACTTAATAGGATGCTTCAGATTATGCTTAGATTAAACTTAATGACATTGCTGCCAGATCAAGAATCACGTAGTAAGGAGATGAAGACGTCATATGGTTTATATAGTCAAGTACTACTGACGTCAAAGGTGATTATATTATACTGAATGTTCTAAGAAGTGTGTTATCATGTTGGTAATATTTTAAAGAAGTCATCTATCTCGTGTTCATGTAGGTTGTGATCTATATTGCTCTGGTTCTCTGGTTTTGGAGAGCTTCTGTTGCTACTGTACCTCATCACCTTGTTCAGCCGTTTGGTAATGACTCTTCTCGCCAGCACAATTTCTGGAGAATACTTAAAAATAAATCTCATTTCATTTAAGATTATAACTATTATAGCGTCTTGATGCTCTCCCTTCTGCAGGAAAACTTTTGTCTTGGAGGGCTGGAGGTACCGTAAATGATTATGTGAAGGTAAAACATAGTGTATTGATTTTATCCCTTGACCCATAACATACCACTAGGCCGGTGCCAAAAAAGAAAAGGATATCTAAATGATTAGCAGCTCTCTTGGTCCCTGAGGGGTAGTCCAATCGACAAGGGCTTGGAGTCTCTTGGTCACACCTGCTTAGGAGTCTCAAGTTTGAACTTTCCAATGAGTTTAATCCAAAAAAAACTCTTGTCTCTTGCGTTTGGGCCTTGGGGTAGGCATGGGTGCCTCAAGCTCTAACACGTAGTTATTAAAAGAAAAAAATATATAAAAGATGATTAGCAGCTCTTGTACTACTGGTAATCAGAGGTGGGCAGAGCCATAAAGAGGTGCAAAATTT